CAGCGTTGTTTATACGAGTTAAATATGATTCAAATTAAAAAAGAAATGAATCCTTAAATGAGTATTGACCAATACTAATATCACTTTATGATCAACTCTATCGCATGCTAGATATTTAATGATATTTCGTCACTGATGTTGATCATTTTCGCGAAAGAACTATCTTACAACATACTTAACTTATTAAATTTCGGCACAGTAGCATTCTAATATCGTCGATAGGATAAGCGATAAAACAAGTGATACTTCGACCAATTAACTCTAGCTTGATGTGACAATCAAAATGTTTTAATGATGAGGTGGCTTTTGAAGATAAAATAATCATATCTAAAAAATTGACTACAGAACTTTGAAAAAATAAATACCATCTTATGAAAGACTTTCATTTATTATAATTATTAAATTGGAAATTAAAGTGGCGCAGCTAAAAGACCTATTATTTTAAGTAATTACATATAATGATCTAGCTTCCTGTAGATCTAAAGCAATTATCTGATCTTAATAATATAAAATGCTGAATCAGCCGACAATTATAATCAATAACCCACTGTTGATAATTTCTTATTTTAAAAATGACTAACCAAAGCGTTAAAACATTTGTTATCAGTTTTCTTTGAAGTTATTGGATGAAAAGGTATAGAGACTTATGCGAATACTCAAAAAGTTTATACGTAGAACTTAATAATTACGGTACTTTGAATACGGTTACAATCTTAATCGGCATTTCATAATATTTCTTTATCAGTGCTGGCTTTCTATACGTAAGACGTGAGTGCAATGTACAAGATGTCATACAGAATTCTTGTAACATCCGGAAAACTTCACCATTTACTTTTCTTACTTTTTTGCTACATAACGGCTGTAATGATGATAAGGTGTAACAGATAAACCTATTGTAAACTTCTAGATTCGAAGACTAATAATATACTGATCGCTATTGATGATATAGAAGGACCGTTGATAAAATTTTAGGTGAAAGTATAGTCCAATTTAATACTGTACTAGCCTGAATTGAAAAAGGATGCTAAAAATTTTGTAATTGAATATTAATTTTACTTACGCATTATTTCGGTCTAATAAGAAACTGTAAAATGTAGTTAATTTAAATTTGATACTGTATTAGTAGAAACAAGTTAGTATTGTAAATAGTGATAATCATCATAATATAATGAGAGCGTAACTTTCGGTGAAGGTTATTCTTAGAAACTTTTGTAATCGTATCTGTCAAACTTCGATCATTCTCATTTTCGTTCTTCGAGCTATGCAGCCATAATCATATTGCGCCTTTCTATTTAATAATACTGTTTAATTGGCTGTAGTTTTTCTTACACTGTTTTAGTTTTAAATATTTCCAATTTTTAGACATTACCTAAATTGTTAATCAAAGTGCAATTGATTTTTTTTAATGCTAGTGGGTAGAGTATTATGTAAACTGTCGGATCTTAGCTGAATCAACGTAAGGGAATTTGTTTATCCGTATCATCACTTGTGTTAGATTTAGTTTAACCTTTCTACAGATTTTCTGACATATGCATAAGAGCTACTGGTCAAGCTACTGTAGAATAAGCTTCTAGTTGGTATCCTGATACTGTACCATACACTAGAATGAATAACATTAGATTTCAGATCTATTAGAAGATATTTCACCGGTACCATGCTTAGATAAATTCGTATTTCTTTACTATGACACGCCGCTAATTGTAATTTATTCGTTAAAAATTAACGACATGAATATTTTGTAATTGAAAATTTAGATATTTACAACGAAAGAACTAACTAAATTATACTCCTCCGTGAGACTGTATGAATTTCTAAGCATGCGAGTTGATACGTATTCATTAATTCAGCGTATTTGTGAATCTTCAAGTTTTTAATCATATGAGTTGATCGCTCAGGAAATTTTTCGTACTTTTATTTTAGATATTCCTCATCATATCTATACAATTATTAATTATTACATCCCGTCTTAATATGATCAAGTTTTTGCTTTTAAAATCTAACATATTTCATTTCGACTTATCATGGAGCTTGATTTAGTGAATAACCTAAGTAATATTTAACTGATTGCAACTCTTCTTGTTTTCGAGCAAGCTATTTTATAATGTCCATCTTTTCAGATATAAAACGATCGGTCAATATTTTCTTTCTTGGATGTTTAATTCCAACATTTTAGTAATCAAATATACGTTGTATAATTAAAACAAAAACTGTAGTAGTTCAGCTAGTAAATCTATTGACAATTCCTTTATCACCCTAATTAAATTGAATCCCTATATTCGTCTTTTCGTTAGTAGCGATCCGTTACCATATATTTTTCTCAATCGTTGTTTTGGCCTTAATTTAAAACTTGTAATAAAATTTCGCACGTGACTGCTAAATCGAGATGGATAACATTTTACAAGTATCAAGATTGCTAACTTTTTCTCATTACTTCCAATCGAATTGTTATGTAAACTCCTGCAATATCAAAGTTCAAGCCATATTGTAAATGATACAAAAAAAAATCAGCTCACGGACAAAAGGATTGTTCCATGTTCGTCAAGTGTATTTATTAGACATAATAGACTTCATACAGCAAGTGAGAAAAGAAGGCCATATTGCGTTTGTACTATTTTAGTCTTTTGATCATCTCATTATGGGAATCTAAGCTTCACGGTTTGTTGTCGTCGTCATTACTACTCTATTCAATATCATTTGTAAGAGTTAATCTAACATCCAGTCCATCTGTCAAATGAAAAAGACCATTATGCTTATTTTTCTCATCTATCCTACTCTGATCGCATTTTTGGGGACTTAATATTGACAGACATGTTATGATTTTCATCGTAGAACTCACTCTCTAACTATGGGTAAATTATGATTATTGTATCGTAGTTACTTCTGCTGATTCATAATATTTAAGATTTCTTGACTGACATTGTTTAAAACTCAAGAGTTAATACGACGAAAGTTAAAGAATTTAAAGTTTAGTTTTACTATAAGGTCAGCTATATTAACCAACAATTATAAAACTATAATCTGCCGGTAATCAGCATTATAAAGAGCTGATGAAAGAGTTCAGCCGACAATGTTATAAAAGCTCATTCTCACAAAATAATACACATTGCATTCCGTATTGGCCATAGATAGGATATTTCTTCTTTGGGTTATTAACTATCTAGCTAAACAGGATGGACGTGTGCTTTGTATAGTACAAGCAACGTTATATCTATAGGTTTCACGGTTATAATTTCTTTTCAAGTTCGTAATTTTATATCTAGTGAATGAACTTTTCGAATATTAATAGTGGTAACCTAAAATACGTAAATACTATATAGCCTATTGTATGAATTATTATTCGAATTTCTATACCAAGAAGAGAACAGTTATTAGCTTTTAATATCAATATTCCCAGAAAATCAATTACACTTACGATGTACACTTTTTCGGGATACATGTGTAATTAACTTCAACAGCTACAGACAATGTTCATTTTAATGCATATCCTCTATCTCCGTTTGTTTGATGCCATATATCGATCAGCGGACTCCGAATATGCGTATATTACAGTAGTATTATTTGCGTCAATATCACAATCTTAATGACTATCTAACCTTTCGAATGAAATCATAAGACAAAATGTTAATGCTATTTACTATAATATTTGAGTTAATACGATATGCTCCATTTTATAAAATTTTTATCGACTATTATCTTTAATCAATAGCTAATAACATAAATCTAGTATCCTTAGCATACAGCATTTAATTATGCGTAGTACTGATAGTTATAACTGTATTGATCAAAGCTTACAGAATGAAATGCAATAAGATCAAATTATTATCAAATACTTTTCGAGAGTTGCATCACGTTGCTACAGATAAATTAGTGAGCAATCTCTTGACCAGTTACCAAATATTTCGAGATTAAATTCTAAGTAAAGTGCCTTCATTATCCGCGTCTTAGATCGATCAGTAAGTTACGGGAGCAAATCTCTATAAAAATTTTGCGCACATCATGGCCTCCTCACTGATAGCCTTTCAATAGTTTATACTAAGCCATATTGTTTAAGTATCTGTATTATATACTTTCTTTGCTGATTGATTTAAGTACCTTTACCTTTTTGGTTACAAACTTTATTGTTTTATAACATTCATTAAAATTTAGCTTAAAATAAACCCAAACCAGCAAATTCCTCGTAAACAACATTGCAAGTATTCTGTACAGAATGTATGAAGCTAATATACTCTTAGAAAATATTTCTCATGGATCAAAACTATTGAATTAACCTTCAAAGGCGCTTATTTGCATAGTAATTATAGTTTTTATGGCTTAAATACTGGAATTATTTTGTATTTATCTGTTCTTTTCTGACGAATTCATGGATTGATTTGAATTCCTGATAGTTAGCCCGTTAAGCTATTACTTTAAGTCCATTTTGAAAGTAAACGATTACTGTAGCTTTCGTTAGCCCTGAAAAGTTGACATTTTTAATTCACTTCAATTACTTTCCCTCTCTGTACCAATCGATTAATATATTACAAATAGTCTCAAGAAAACGAAAAGTGCATTCTGTCTTTAAATTTACGAAAAATGCTCATCGATCGCTCCAAATTATAAAGAAATTAGAGATAAAATGTTATCATTCTTTAAGGAGATTTTTACTTCGTTCAAAAGGATTATTTTCGTCGACTCAGAAGAATTTACATAGGTTACAGTCGATTACGATGTTCATTTGTAATTATTGTAAAAATTGAACGGCCATGATATGAATTTTACTTAATGTTGTTCATTGTAGCTATCACTAAAACAAGTAGATTAATGTGTATGTTTATATTATTGCCTACGGAGCAAGCTAGAAACTAATTATTCCATACAAATGAATATTGATAAGTGAATAGACATAGACATATGTTAATATCAACATATTGAGCATTTTCCTCTCTAAGAATAATATGACTAAAATTAATCCCATAATAATGCTATTATCTTTTTTCCTATAGTTAAATGGCAAAGTAGGAATGAGGGTTGGGCATTTAGTTGCTGATATCGTCCATCAATTTAACTTATCATCTTGGCATGTTCGTATGTTGCCATCGCGCGCTATCGTTAATGATGGCTCTGATATAGGCGTCTTAAATGGTGAAGAAATATCAATCGAAGGAATTAGTCAATATCCACAAAGCGATATTATGCAAGGTAAAATAATAAATTTTATTTTTAAAAATCATGTGCTATGAGAACGATAATAAGATACAGCATTTTTAGTCATTATGTATGACCTTTTCCATCGAGTGAAGATTATTAGCCTTCATTCATACATTATATGTTCATGGCCAAAGCACTTTCACACTAAATTATTACTGTAGTTTTGAGAATTGTTATGATATAATTTTTAATATAACAACTAAATCAACGCTCTCTTTGAAAGCAAATTAATCTTAATAAAATTGGTTTAGTAACAGTTTTAAACAACAAGCATTTGGTTTAATTTATGGGTTAATCCGTGATAAATATCCTTTACGTCAATGAAATTGATACAGTTACCGTAATTATGACGACTAAAATCTTGACCTCCTGTTATTTCCTTTTTCCTAACTGGAAAGGAATATAGTAATGAAACATTAATCGCTTTAAGCAATTCTGTATGAGAAACTCACTGTTACTGGTTTGAATTTTGCTTTGCCTATTGTAGACAGAATTAACTAAGTGTAGCATTTAACAACCTTAACAATATTACTATAGTAGAAGAGTAATCAAAAGCCATTCTAGTATAATTCATTTTTCTTGTAATCAAATTTCTAGTTAACCAATAACAATTAATCACTTCTATCGTCATTACCTATATTGACTCTTATATTTTTTCCATTATTTTCCCTATTTTCCTGGACAACCAAATATTAATCCTATTAATATATATTGTAATATTGATAATTGATCTATTTAAAAAAATTAGATTGTAAGCAATTACTTTATTCAATAAGTTCACAAGCTCTTTTATAATGAACAAAAAAACGAAGTACGGTACTCTACTTTAATTTTTGTGAGAAATCTTCTATAATAAGGTTTGGTCAAACCCAATCGAATTTATTTTTGAACCTTTCGCACCTAAGCTACTACATAGCAATGCATTTATGCAGGAGAAATTTTACTCGTCAATTCATTCGCTATACTAAATGCAACTATGGTAAAGCCTCTACATTGTTTAATTTCTATCATACTGTACATTACCCTATTCTATTTCTCTATTTTTATTAATTTTTTCTGATGTGAGCCGTTTGACTATTTATCGGCACTACGATATGCGAATAGGCCAATATACATACTTAAGGAGCTACTGGCTTTTTGCTTAGTACTGGGTATCTGATGTTACAAAAACCATGATGTTGTTGACAATCAGACTTAAATTACGTTTACCTTGAGATCTTTCATTACTATTCCAAGTAAATTTTGTCAATGTGATAATTTTATAGGCAAAAGAAATACTTTACGTCTATTTGTATTTGCTGAAAAAATGAATAGTTAAACTAAATATTGATTACTTAGCGAAAGTACTTTGTCACTACAACACTGCCATTGGTAACTGATCGACCTATGCTTCTCGATTTCCTTATAGAAATGGATGAACGATTAAAATGTGTCAATAATTTGCTTTTCTCCGAAGAGCTTTACTTGGAATCGCTTAAAATTACCATCGATAATTATGCTGATCCTCTTTGGTAAGGAAAATTAACTCTAGCGGCTTTTGCCGTATGAAGTATTCATATTGAATGAAAAGAACCTCTCAGAAAAATCCTAAAAGAAATAAAACCAATGTCTAAACATAGTGAATTATAATTGATGAATTTTCAATTTTACCACAGGAAATGGGGCTTAAGTGAATTAGAGTACGATACTCTCTTTGGTGGTATCAAGCAACTTCGACAGCTTAATACTCTGCTATGGCAAAAGGTAGAAATTAGAGATGTAAATTCAGCTTTCATAAAACAAATTTGGTATGACCAAGACAATCAAAACAGATTCTTTAATGGTTTTTAGTAATGGCTTTTGCAATTTTTACCATAAATGTTGCAGTCGAAATTATTTTATATTTCATTTTGTATCGCCGCTTAAAGCAATAATTTCAGTTATAGTTTAACTTAGTCGTCTGCCGATTTGAAAGCTAGAATATTTTACAAAGTCAATGTGATCATTATGGTGCCGATTATAATCGTAGTTAAGCCAATATAAAAGTGCAGATAGAGCAGTCACGGAAAACTTATACTAGCATAAATATAAGGCAATGGCAATGTTGATTTAATTACATTTTAAGCCAACATAAGAAAAAAGACAGTTAAGACTGTGATAAAATAAATTTCGTGAATGTGGTCGTGGAAAGGAGTGCAATATCCATTCCTTCCACGACTAATAAACGAATAGTAATTCAAGGAAACAAACAATCTCAGAATACTTGTCTTTATTGTACTGATATCATTTTAGAGGTATTTTAATCGTCTGTCTCTTAATTAAAATTCTTTTATTGTCGGCTATCGTTTTCATAAAACAATATTACTCTGGTATCATAGCAATATTAATTCTTTTTATTTAAGGCTTAGATAGTATGCTAGCACAAGAATGTCCACAGTTAGTAGTTGGCAATAGATTGGTTCAGTATAACAATTGCACATAATTAAACGTTTTAAAAATTTTTATTCGTGCTATACATGAATCAGTATCCACTTTTACTCATCTATCAGTTGACTAAAACCACTTTCCAAGCTAGCAAAAATTGTTTTGCGTATTAAATCTACTCACAAGATAACATTAACATTCTATCATGTAATATCGATTCTAAGTAAACTAAATAAAGGTAGTATGCGAGCATAAGGATGATTATAGATATGATACTTCGAATTAGCGTAAACGCTATACTTAATAATTTAATAGCTATCCATGTTGTACTAGTATGAACATTTTTTTTAAAAGCTATTTAATTGATTCATCAGCTAATCAATGAATTAAAACTACTTTATTTGTTAATTATTATGACATCCTAGCAAATATTGATGCAATATTATTACAGTATAGAAACTGTAGTATTAGAGATAGCATCAAAAATCGCAATAATGTTGTTCAGTCTTCATTTATTCATTTATATAAGCTATCTCATCAGTTAATAATATCGCTTCGTGGTCTTTAATCATTTTTAAGCCGTTTTAGGAACGGTAAGCGCAAAGACTATTTAAAAATTCGAGCGGTATTAGATTAATATCTATCAAACATATTCTAATTTAAAAATCACTTGTGGAGGTCGAAAAATAACATTACTAAATTTGGCTTCCTGTTCAAGCAATCATCCGTTAAATTTAGCGGCACTGGAGAATTGTCGTCAGAATTGACATTACTATGATCATTGAGCACCACAATAGTTTATGTAATTACGACTATCGTCTATATAATCACATGATATTACAGCTATTTATCATATCTCTTTTTATTATAGTTGAAAAGTGCTACAGCAACTTGGGATTCCGAGCTTACTTGCATAGGTAAGATAAAGGCTTTGATAATTACTCAAGAAAGATTTACAGTACATTTGGTTGTACTGATTCTTCTCTCGGGTCTACTTTATCGTATCATTCTTGGTTAATTCCAAAAAATAAAAAATACAGTACGAGGTTCCCTCCTCCTACATAGAATTCTGTATTAATTGATACCTTTGTAAGCAAGCCTATCTATTCTATCTGTGTCAGTGATAATACTCGTATGTAGAGTATTTGGGTATAAGCCAACCATATCAATTTGTAATAGTAGCACACAATTCTATTATTTCTTTTACCTTGATTAATCTTCATATCAAGTTAGCACAATATTCTACGTATCTCCTAATGTAGTCTAAGCATATCAGCTTATACCGTTACCTTCTTTCATGGTATCTTTTTTTATACAGTAGTTACCAACTGTATGTTAATATCATGAAATGCTAGTATATTGTTTCTTGTTAGCATGAAAAATGCGATTTCCAAAAATAACGCAATAAATTTTAGAGATAATTATTACGAATTCATCCAAAAAGTGGATTTGCATGCAAATTGAGTAAATGTAATTAAAAATAAATGACTAACTAATGCTATTATCTCATCATTTAGGTCAGATTTTTGTTTTCTTTGATCTTTTCTGGCCTGTCTACGAAGAATATTACCAAAGTTTTAAATCGGTCAAACTGTAAGTCTCTTTTCTTATTAGTATTCAATATTTGATTGTTCGATAACTACAAGGGTGAATGGATATTTTATTAATCATGAATAAAACTAAATTTCTGAATAATTCTAAGCTGTAGTTTTCAAACTATTTATCTTGTCAATTCTATAATTAAAGATAAAACCAATAATCAAATTATATATTAAAAAGATTTTTTTTAGTAAAGTAAAACGATAATAAATATCAAAAGTTGTACTATCACACCCTTAGTCAAGTCTTAAGCCACCTTCATAAATTATTTATTTCATCGCGACGAAATTAATCGACGGCTAATCTAATAGAACATCTGCGTCAATATTTTAATTACACTGTAATACTATATTATTATCAAATCTGGATTACTATCATTTATACAGCTTCTCTTTACACCATCAAATCCAAATTTATTTCTCAACTATATTAACTGTAGTTTTATAAAAGTTCACTACAGTTAATGCTCTCTGAAATACCATCTTGCGAGTGCATTAAGCTGGTCTTAATTTGATACAATAAATAATATCCCTTTTTAAGTCGGTTTTGAGGTTTAACAAAAAACCTTTGATATTACGTACGTTTTTAAAATAAATAGTAACATACCCGTACTTAAATTTATATACGAATATTAAGTCGTTGAACACGTTTCTGGGTATATATCTCCATGTAATTAATTTTTGAATAGCAATGATGAATTTCACCGATTAGCTTGTAATTAGATGATAGCTTAGAAAATTATTTTCTACCAATCATTTATAGAATACTAAAATCCAAGAAGAGTAATGATCCGACCTTCAGTGACTTCTTGCGAACTCAACGTCTTAGCGCTCATCATTCCTTGGAATCATTGTTACTAGCTCCAGTAAGTGATTAAGTTGGTTGTAGCAATATTTTTTATGATGCCTTCACTAACCGTGAAAGGAGTTAGAAATCAATTGGACTATCTCACTATTTTTATTTGGTATTGTAATTTATGAAACTCTATTTCTGTTCTGCAAAATTCGTATACAAAGATGTTCATGCCAAGTTAATATTGAACGATTGGTCAAGCTTTTTAAATACAATTTAAATTCTACAAAAATTTTTCTATAGTCCTGTATCAGTTTTCTTACCCACCTATTCTTTGTTAGTTAATAATTTATAATATACTGTAGTCTTGCATTTTAGAGTTGTATAATAGCCTTATTTGATATTAGTAACATTGCACATGTTTTTCTGAAGCCATTTACGATAAATCTGTTTAGCTTAAAATGAATCTTAGCTAAGGAAACGTCAAATAATTTTATCCTACACTACAATAAATTAAAAGCTTGCGATTACGTAGTAATTAAATTTAAAAATTTAACTTTATAGAATTCTTAACAGTTTCATTTCAGCAAAGCCAATGTTAATTTAATATACCAACGCTATTCTTAAATTAACGATCGCACCGTATAGTATGGTCCTATTTGCTATCTTCTTGACAGTTCTATCAAGACGAAATACTTATTTAAGAAATTCTCAAAAATACTGTTATAATATTACTTTGCTTAATACCTTGCAAAGTCAATAATCAAATTTGATATTAGCGTAGCTTTATCTTTGGCCGCTCAACAGTACTGAAATTAGCATATATTGCTTACATATTTTAGTAATGAGATTTCTGATTTATTTTCTCTACTTTATTCCCTTCAACTTTAAGCATAAGCATCTAAATAATTTCAGCTATTAAGTCTAATCGAGCGTAGCAAATTATTTGTATATCGTTTCTACCGTGTTGTCAAACATTTTTAGAATAGTTATGGAAAAATTCATTTCCTAATTAGTTTATTTCAAGAGAGATTTTATTAATTAAGTTGTCATTATCAAATTAGCAATTATTATAATCATCGTGGAACAACCATAAATATTTCCGTATCATAATTAAACCTCGATATGTCAAAGATAAATTTCACCTTGAAAATTTTGATTTGAAGTTGTCGGTTGAGTTTGCTCTTAATGTCTCTTCTTAATGGCCGTTGTAGATATAGACCTAAATTTTGCCTTAACTGAATACAAATTTTCGTAAATGATACGCCTATAGTCAAAACCAGAAACAAATCCACAAAGCATAATTTTTTATTTGCACTGACATAACTTTCTTTATTTGAGGCTTTCATTCTAGTAATATTCCTAATCGCAGCTAATAAGAAAGTATATAGTAAATGGCTGCCATTAATACCAGTATTCATTCTGTTATAGTTGATTCTCCTTTGTAAACCTGAAAAATAATAGCATCATGAATAATGTAAATAAAAGCGTAGATGGAATCAACGCAAGCAATTTATTCTGAAGCTAATCATTACAATAATAATAAAGAAAACAATTTATTGTTTCTCGAAAACTGGATAGGTTTAATATTAAAAAAATGGCACAAATAAGTAATAATAATTCCTACCAAATTTGTTAAATTGGTTGTAACTATCTTTAGTCTACATAATTGATGGTCTTTTTTAATAAAGAAATGGCTATTATGATTATTGCACCATATATTGATAATTTCTAACTATATTCTCTTAGTTAGCGATATTAATAGTAAATATTTTTGTCTGTGATAAAGGTTCAACGAATTCCACAATACAACAGACTGCTTGGTGACTTGATAGAGAAAACATCCGAAGATCATCCAGACTATAAATATCTGATTGAAACCAAGGAACAAGTTAAACAGGTTGGTTTGAATTACGTTATATTAAATTAATATGCTAATAACAGACTTGAATGTATCAATAACCCAAAATATTCTTCTATACCTTGTCTTATCACTATATACTCGTCTAATATCAGCATGCTATCTATAATCCATCATAAGTAATCACCTTTTAGAATAGTTTTAATTCAACCACCTACTGTGTAATTCAATAAGTAAATATATCAAAGGTGTATTGTAATCATCATACTTCCTACCATTTTTTTCTTCATATCCTACTGTACCTGCTGTGAATATCTATACAGATGATAAGTGAACGTGAACAAGAAGTAAAAGCTGTTGAGAATGAGGTTAGCATTTTTTAAAACTCCCTTTTCGCTGACCACCTCATAAACATATAGAATTGTGTTGTTCTAGCCTTAAATTGTAGCTCTATTGATGGAATCAATTATCAGCTGACAAATTTATTCTAATATTAGAAGGAATTTTACGGTCATTATGATGACATTGTAGAACATTTTTTAAACTATGCTTCGTGTCCACCTTTAGAAAATAAAATAAAATTTAATTACGTCTCTGTCGGAAATTCCATTCTAATATACTTAATTTTTCTCCTGTACCATATGAAGTAATTTCTCGTAAATCTCATGAAGTATACTATAGCTTGAAATAGTTGTTTACTAGATTCGCAATAACTTTAATATACGAAACAGTAAATTAAAATAGAAACTTTACTAGTCGTCACGATGGAAAGTAAATATGTCGCTTATATGAAGGATATTGAATAGATATCTAGTCTACCCTATTGTCATATCGTTCTGCAATAGTCATTATACTTATTATATTGGTTGCATGGTTGGATAGCAGTAATTAATGAATTCTTTTCTCTCTTTTTGCTATTATATTCTCGATATAATACAGTATAAGTTGATACAAATACAAGAAAGATTTCCAAATGATCCACTTTACTTACTGGACGACAGGGTGGCTGTTGCCGAAATGGTAAGTTAACGATCGCTTAATCTCTTCAATCCCCCCAAATTTTTTGAATCAAGTCGTATAAGCCAATCTAATAATTGCTGTTAGGAGTGAATTTTTTATATGGGTGCCTTATATTCTCTGTCAATCCCTGTCGTTGTATCTGTATTAATATCGATATTGATTGATGACAATTATGCAGCAATTTCATTTCTATCCTCCCTTCTACTCGTCTGAGAATCATCATAGTAAATCTAGCATTCTCTTCGGTTTCTTAAGCATTAGCATGTCGCTACATTCTTTAGAAATTTAAATCAGGTTTGAAAATCTTTAAGTAGGGTGATAAAATGGTTTTAGTACTTAGTAGAAAACGTTAACCTTCATCATTAAATGTTAAATAGCTGGCTACAACCATTTTTTATAAACTATTGATCGTACTGTACAACGTAATCATAAAAAGGACTTAGATCTCTATCACTTAGATATTTATAGATTTATCAGTCATTAGTAGGCTCAAATAATTTTAACTTAATGTAAAGAGAATTTGAAGCCTTAATTGCTTATTAAGGCCATTAAGCAGAGATCAGCTGCGGATCACATACACAGTTCGTCAATGCTTGCAAATTTAAATTGAAAATTATTCATACCATTAAAATAAAAATTTATTACAATCCCTTCTTACCGCTATTAATTTCCGATTTTTCTGTTATTTACATCTACTATCGGGTTTCTGTAAAAATATATACAAACCTTACTCATAGCTAGATAATTTTACGTACGACTATCAGGACACGATACGCTAAAATCAAGCGGAATTAAAGACAATCTTAGCAAACTTTTACTAATTGGTTAAATTTTTTACTCCAAGGATTGATAATAATTGCTTATATTTATGAATACAACACAACTTTTACTCTAATAATTCATAATTTTAAATACTATTATCTTCTCGTTTATGTAATATTTAGAAATCGAAGTCGCATGCTCCTCGTCGACGATCAGCTCCAACTTTGTTCTTGAAACACAATATATCATTCAATAAGCATTCTGGTAGAAGTATTGCCAAGTAAGTTATTTTATTGCTTTTCGAAGACTTTATTGAAAATATATGATATTTTATAATATGCGTGACTTATTAAGGAACAAGTTAATTACATGTAAAAGATGGGTCACGTTAGTTATCATTTATTATAATAATACTACAGTAATTTATTTATGACATTAATATGAAATGTTTTTAATACAAATCACTTAGTAACTTATTTGGTATGACAGCGAACAATAAAGTACCCAGGCAATTTATTTATGAAGGTGTTGTTGATATGAATACGGTCAGTCAAATGAAAAATTACAAGATTCTATTTCCTTGTAATATTTTACCTATATTTGTGCTTCATCCATTAACCCAATTTCACATTTATTTGCAACTGCAGTATAACGTTTTATGGTTATCGAAATTTTGTATCTGGTCTTTTATTTAATTTCTAAACTATTACGTTGTAGGGGTTTCAAACAGTTCCACGCTATTTATTCCTATTAAATGATATTCTAATCATAGCCAAACCAAAGTAAGTCAATGTCGTCGTATATAAATTTAATAATATATACGTGTATATATATATATATATTGTATTTTCGATGAGCTATTTATGCCTACCTTCATTCTATTTTCGTCATTTTTATTACGAAACCTCAATTATTAGGGCTATAATTGATATCGCAACAGTTACAGTAAGCCCTTTCTACATTTTTGTTGCAGAATAGTAAAAGAAGTAAATTAAATCTATTATAAAGATAATCTTTTACTTCCAAGTTTAAAATTGGCTATAATTCTATTTTATTCGTAAAATGATGGTTGCAGAAGTCAGAAGTGTTATACAGACTCAATTAGTGATTTAGAGTACAGATTTACCCACTGGTGACATATCGCTTTTCAAAAATAATCATTTCATTATGACTATAAATTTAACTACAGAAAGCCATGCTTACCAGTATTGAATCGACGCATTTATTAATGACGTTGCCAGTTAGACGTTTTAGAAAACTATGCAATACTATGTAATGACCATTATAGTTAGCGCTAATAAAATTATTTATAGCATTTATACAAGTCGCCATTGCTATTTTCAACAAATGCTACCATGAATTCCTGAATCTTTGCATCAATTGTTCTACCGGTGTAGGGGTTCAACATTTAGATTGAAAAATTTAATTCGTGTTACTGATATTTGGCTATCGGAGTCATTCGATGATGTCTGTGAAGTAGTACAACATCCAGATAAGTCTTTCGTAATTGGATGGCCAATCGTAAATTACTTGGCAACTTTTTCCACAGTTGAAGAAAGGAATCTTTGGTTTCAATTATTATCGAAGTAATGTTTTTACACTGATAAAAAACAAAGCAACGACGACTGATTTCTATCTAAATTATATGATTTAAAAGAGTAGATGATAACTCATTCATGAATATGACTTCTTTTTTCACCACGTAGACAAATCGAAGAACAACAAGAATACGATGATCCAAAAGCGTTATCCGCTACAATATCTCTAAGAATTTCGGAAATTAATCCTTCATTAAGAGATATTGTAAGCGAAATGATTATAATGTCTAATAATCTTCCTAAGTTATTAGTTTACACAGAAAGCAATCTATAGCGTTTACTGTAATGTTGTCATTATGATATTAATTAATCAATCATCTTCACAAGTCCATCTATGTACTATGCAGACCTTTCGTCTCATTTTTAGCTTTATATTTTACTGTAGACTATAATAAGATAGCAAACAAGATACTGCTAGTATTTAAAGATGATACCAACATTATTTTAAACTTCATGGCAGATATACGAAATGTAATAATGTATTCGTATAAGGGTAGAATAGTTCCCAGAGTAGAATATACAGTAATAACAGTTTTACTTAACCTTTAACTCTAATTCATTTTTAAGGTAACCAATATTAATATCACGAATAAAGATGATGTACACTTTGCAATAAAAGAATGTTTAAAGGAGTCACAGTTAGAGGTATTTACAAATTAACAATTATTCAATTCTGATTACAAGGCGTTTAAAGTTACGAAGCGGAATAAGATTAACTTCTTACTTCTTTCTATTTTAAAGATGACCAAAACGCTTTCTCAGCAATTATGGATTATAACCAATAAAGAAGACGTACTCAATACTCCATTGATTGGTAAATGTTCCCATTTCCGCACAACTGTCATAGCAATGATGACTTAACTGTTGTTTCCTCTTGCGAACTTTAATATACGCAATTGCAATACAAAAATCTCGTTTAAGTATTTCTTGATAAACTCTGATATAAGCTTAACTCTATATTTTCCCTAATTTATAGGCCATGAACGTCTTTATGCCATTAAATGTTTTTCTTTACGAGAAGGACAAGAAAATAATGGATTAGATGGTGTTCTGGAGACAAAAAACACCCAAGATTCAGAACTACAGTTTGTTATCAGATTCAGAAAGGGTGCTAAAATATCAGCCTTAGGTCAGTGATTTTATGATCCACTAATAGATGGACATATTTCATATTCTATAAAACTTCAATTTTATTTGCTAAAAAATAACATTTTACTTGATTTCACTATAAAAATTAACCGGTTATAATTCCTACAGATATCAAGAAAAAAGGCTTAAGTAAACGTGTGGTAGTGCAATGGCTAAAACATTCAACAGGTAGTATTAAAAATTCATCACCATCAAAAAATCAAGAACCGTTAGCAGAGAAAGCATCTGGAAGGTAGAATAGAATTAATTTATCAAGCTTATATACTTTATAAAGTATAGTGGAAGTTTCATTTGACTGAATAGTCATTTATTTTATCGCTTTCCTGTTATCTAAAGGATATTTGGGGTTCCACTAGAAAAGCTAATTCAAGATGATACATTACCAAAACCTCTCATGGTAATTACGATATGGTCTTCATAAAAATTATGTCGAAATTATTTACATCCAGACTTAAATTTTAATGTAACTATAGTACGAAATATCAATTCCATTGCTACTTACTAAAATCTTTACGCCCTTCTTGCTATAGGGAATGCTGCAACAGCTTTCTATTTATGGTCCGACGACAATAGGAGTGTTTCGTAGATCTGCTAATGTTAAAATTATTCGTGAACTACGAGGATTAATTGAAAGCGGTAAGTCGATTGATAAAATTTGTTCTGAATCACAGTTTGTAAGAGATCGTTATTCCCGCATACTGTATTGATCTAGTATATACTTTTTAAGTGGCTCTTTGAAATTAGAAAGAGTATTTCATTCATTATATTATAATTTAATGTTGCTCTAAAAGTCGCTGGATCTTTTAGTAGTATTTCACTGACTTAATTAATTGCAATTGTTATGGTAGCAGTATATAATCGGCTTAATAGACTGCGGCTATGTTGCTATGTCTACAATGTTTAAATTATAGACAGTATACGGTTTGGTAGGCTTTGATAAGCTTTATGCATCTTTGATTATACCTGGTTTTAAACATTTTTATTAGTGTGTACCTAATAATTTAGTTTGTAATTGGGATGATTTAATCGTTACACTAGCTCTGGCTAGTTTTTGGAGCTATAAATAATTAACTTTAAATGCAAAGCACAGATCCACTTTCATCAGTCTAGGTGCATTATACATACTATGATCAGCTAGTTACGAATAAAGTCATATTAACTTTCTCATTACTGAAAAAGGTATGGATATTCTTTATGAAAATCATCAAGTTTTGGTTTTGGCAGCATTGTTAAAGGTTATTATTATTACTAATTGATCTTTTAAGATTTGCAAATTTTTACGACCACTTCGATATCATTTAACGTACAGATTTTTAATCGGCATAAAAATTTAATCAAATTCGAATAGTTCACAGAAGTAATTTAATTTGTACTCAGTATAGTTATATACTTTAAGTTATAGTTAATGTGATAATAACTAGAATTTTAATTTTCCAGTGTATTTAGTTTGATCAAAAATTGCGGATAACAGTAGATGTAACTAACATATTTTCTGTATATATTAAATCAGGAATTTTTACTGTCTCTACCCCAACCTGTTTTCGATATTAATTTATTCGAAGAATATCTTATTACAAATAAAATCGAAGATAAGGAAGAAAGAATTAATGCTACGAAAACGTGAGACTTGATAATAATTAAATAGAAAAGGATAAAAGATTTGTTTATGGAAAAAATTTTCATAATAGAATACTAAACGTGGAATATTTGAATACTTCTCGATACTTTCGGTGTATATTCTCATAATTTATTTACTTAGTAGTAATTTGCAATTCAATGATTTGTTAGAATATGGCTTACTCTGGTGTTGAATTAGAGCATTTATAAAAATATTAAATAGAGTACTTGATTAAAATTTTAAGAATACACTTACTGTATAGAAATACTTTATCTACTGGGAATAGAATTTTATTTCATAATCTCTTACGGCTAAAGGTTAAAATTTTCTTCCTTTTACATCATTCATTTTAACATGCTATATTAATGAACTATAGGGTATTGCAAAAACAACGAGAGAATTCCAAGGCAGCTACTGTGTTATTGAATTCTATCTTCTGTGTCTTAAATCGAATACTTGCTCATTGTGAAGAAAATAATATGAATGCCTATAATTTAACGGTGTGCATCTCGTCAAGTATGATGTGGCCTAAAGATTTAAATATAGCACACCAACGTCGTGATGATATCGTGGAATTTTTTCAATTTTTATTGGAGAATTGTCAAGAGATCTTAGGCGAAGAGATGCAAGGGTCCTTAGGTGATGCTGAACGACCGGTACGACATAAATTAAATCGAAGGAAAGCCGTATCATGCGGTGATGCCTACACTCTAGATGAGAATGAAGATAGTTCTAATCCAAGTTCAAGTCTTAAATCAATCTGCGATAACCTTGGCCGACGTATAGCTAACGCAGATACTTGCGGTAGCCATGATTCAGGCATTGCCAATAGTGATTTATCACATCTAGGATTAGAGAACGATGACAATAGTCAAGGGGATAACGGTAGTATTGCTACATCGGATTCCTCTGGCGGTCAAGAAATTTCAACAATACAAGAGAAACCACATAACGGTTCAGGTTTTGGAGGTATTGAGAGGCATGAAACTAGATATGGGCGTTTTATTAAAAATATATATCAAGGAAATAAGCAAAAAGGTGAAAAAATACGTGACAGTCGGAGTGCTTTTGCAAGTAATAATAAAAAGAACAATAATACCAATAGTCCATTCTTAAATAAAACTCGAAGAAATGGACGCCCTCGACCACGAGATGATTCTGCATGTAGTGAAGATAGTATTGCTAGTAGCGCTGTGAGCGGAAGCCTTAGTAAAGATAGCCAAATGGATGAAGGTCTATCACTAAAAGATCACAATCAACATCATTAGAATCAACGCGTCCTAAAATGGTTGCTATATCCAGGCATCAAAGTACCCCGTCAAAAGGACGTAGAATTGGTGGTATTATCATGAAAAAGCTACGCAATAATTCACTTGGTGATGGTGAAGAATATTCATCATCGCCAGTACCCCAGCATAAATCTTCTTTAGGCAATAACAGCGACGAAAGTGATAGTACATTTGATTCGAAATTGAAATCACGCTTTGCCTATGGTATGAAATCCAACAAGAAGTCACAGGATCATGAAAATGACCTATCGTCGTCAACACCTTGTTCTCCATTAAAGAAAGAGTTTGATTCACACGAATTAATATCAAGTGGATCACAACCTGATTTTAATAAATTATTCGGTGGAGATGGATCAAAATTAGATTTGCCAATAAAAGAGGATACAATATCAAATTATTCAAAAAGTTCCTCTTCACCAATTGACATTCGTCCTTCTAGAAGTTATCCTGACTATCGACATGGTTTAACTGAAAGTCATAGTGATTCACACCTGATTAGTTCATCGTTGGATCAGAGTATCATTCCTGTTGGATCATTACGTAAAGTTGGTACATTTCCAAATGAGGTAGCTATTAGCAATCAGTCATCACTACCGGATATAAATAATCGAGATCGAGGAGGAAATGATTCAATGGGAAAAGTGTCACCTATAACCAGGGATAAATTTTTGAAAATGAGTTTTACTGAAGAAGAATTTGTTTAAATTAAAATAAATGCTTAAGAACTTTTCATCATAAATTTTTTAAACCTGATTTCTGTTTTATTAGTTGTACATTTTATAACATCTAACATAGGCTATTTGAAATTTAGACTTTAATATCCATATTCATTGAACTTACTGAACCATATAATGGTATCAATATCTGGAAAGAATATGAAGCGATTAATTTTTAAAGTTATCTTCTGCATTGTCTTTTTAATATCGTATATACGAATATATGTAATGTATAGTATGTTTACATAAAATTATATACTACAACAGTAGTAATGCATGTTTAGTGTAGCTATTTCTATTTGCATTATCTCAATTAGTTGCAACTTATACATAACACTATCATAGGTTCATCATGAAGAAGAATTGGTTATGTAGAAAAATTCGTAAAAATAAACTGCAATATTCTAAAATGATGTCTATGAAAGAAAATAATATCCGTGTTTCAATATAACAATTATTGATCAACTTAGCTATTATGGCAATAAATTATTTGTCAGCTAAGATTTTTTAATTACCTAATGATCATTGTACCGCAGCAGTTTATTATACATGATGTTTTCACAAGTTGTTGCTTATTTATAAATGTAGAAGATATATGTATATAGTTTGACTATGCATGGAGAATAGTAAAAAAATTTCAATGTTGCTGTTATCATTGAATATCGATTTACATACTTGATCCTATGTCATAATTGAATGCTTATTTCTACAATTGCAGTATAATGTTTCTTGTTTTAAAATGAAGAATACTAAGTATGTGTAGCGATAAATTACGTATTAATTTCATTTTTTATCGTCTTAAATTTAATAATTTTGCCGAACTACGTCGTATATAAATATTCCAATACAATCTGGTAATATCTATGAGAATTATTGAAAAGTTAGAGTTACTTATTAAAGATTGTGCTCTTCGTTTTGTATTCTTCTCGTCGCTTTCTTTATTCAATATTTACTGTTAAACAAAGGGTATACATAGCTAAATTCTATCTCAATATACTATTTGAAAGAGTTCGCATAATATAGTGAAGGGAATAGTGCTTAATATCATTTTTCCGTATTTTCCCTCTTCTTTTAAATAATTATTACTGTTATTAGGCTTATAGAGCGCATGCTGCCTAGTCGTATCGATTAAAATGTACCCAACGTCACTGTTGATAATGCATTCAGCAATTCTTTTTTCTTTTTCTTTTTAAATATTAATCTCTATTAGATACAAGGTAATTTGCAATGTATATCTAATATTAAAGAGTATAATATGGTAATTGAAATGTTATTATATTTTTCATTTCATTTTCTATTATATAAACTTAATCCTTAACATCTTATTTTGGTATCTAATTAGAAATATGTAACAGGACTAGATGTAATAATTTATGTCTTAAATTCATCGTTTACAAATAAACAACGTTCATTTCAAATTGATTGTTACAATGGCAATTACTGTCCATAGCTATTAGTAAACTTTGCTACTTTCATAGTCAATGCGCAGAGAAAATTTTCTGTTAGTATAGTAACAAATACTTGATTAGAATCAATTAGATTGAATTTAATATTTCATTATCCTGTTTCTAACTTATTATAAAGTAGGCTCAGCCCTTTCTAATGTTTGGATAGGATTTGTATTGCATAGATATCTGGTATAAAATTGCTATTATCAGCCAACAATACTAGCTTTAAAATAATTTAATTGTATTTATTAATTTTGATGCAGTTGTTCATGATCCAATCTTTAACTATTCCTCAAGTAGGCTCAATTGTTCTTTATATCAATTATTCTTCATGTGGTGATCCATGGATAGCTAGATATTTAAGGAAATATCTAGCGAATATCTAGCAGCTAGCAACTCGTGATTTATGTATTTTACCTTACATACATCCAGCCCAGTAAGTGGATCTGTTATCAATTTTTTCCTCTTACAGCTATTACTTAGTAGTGCACAGATATAAAATCGCAACAACGTTATATTGTAATTGTCATTTGCGATACCTTGCGTAATAAACTATACTGTTTTCGCTTATCAAATTAGATTTCTTCAGTTACATTTGAATTGAATTATTATATTTAGTCCTAGAATGAGAACTTTCAAATTTTAGCATTTTATTAAATCTCGTTTGTACTGTAGCTCTAAGCTAAATTAAGTAAAGAGATTAAATCATATGATATTATTTTCGATATTTTTAGAAAGATTTCCTGTAATTTTATGCCTAATAAGATGAATAGTAGATCTTTTCCGTCTTAAAAGGCGATATTTCGTCTATTATTTTAGTAATAAACATTGCAGGTTTATTTTCACGTTGCTTAATAAATCGTAATAGTTCTCAACTGTAGAAGCTCTATTTTTAGACGTTATTCGAAAATTTTGAATCGACTAAAATTAATTAACGAATATTAAGTAGATTGCACTTGATAATTGAAATTAGTGATAATGATTCTATAATGCCATAATCTGAGTTAAATGATAATTAGCTTAATAATTGATTGCTAATCAGTATGTATTTCTATGATCAAATAACATATAACAGATTTTAAATAGCATCAAATCTTCAAAATACTTAAATTACAGCAGTAAATTTATTATAGACTTGATTTAATATAGATCTGCACCAATTTTGAACTTTTGAGCATATTACATAATTTTCACTCTATTACATCATCTTTGCAAGAATAAAAGACCAACTAAAATTAGCTAATTAAAGGGATATCGCGAAATATTTTAGTAGTGCAACGATTCTGTAATACTATAAGCCATAATTAGCAGCGGTACTATTGAATTTTGCAAAAGATACCGACACTGTATTGACTACTATGACTAATAATACTTAAAATAATACTTAAATATCGATTTAATATCGTTAGTTAATGTGCAGACGAGTTAACGAATAAGAACCATTTCTGCTTCTACATTTACTACACTCTATTCATTTATCATACTAGGGCGTTTTGAAGTTGATTTACTATTAATACCGATTCAATATCAATTATTAGTTTTGCATTGAAATTCGGATTTTGCAGGATAACCTTTTAATACTTTTGCTTTTGATATTTAACACTAATAAATAAATCATATTCTATTAATGCCATTTTTAATATTGAGTTTGTATCATTTGTAAGATAGGCATTGCCGTATCAAGGATCTAGTTGATAATTAATCGTTATATTGTACGGGTGTGAATATCGTATATGATAATATATAGCTGTATTAGATGTAGCTGCTATAATATTAACCATAATATACTAAACTTTCCAAATACTCGTATATATAAATACCGCTCAGCATTGCTACAGAGATGAAGTATAATTAAATCATGAGGACCTCGTAAAATATGACTATATAGATTAAATTATGGCTCTGATCGATTGTTAAATGCCTGAATTTCTATGAACTTTAAACTTATTAAGTGAGACTGCTACTTCATGTCAGAAAATTGTCATTTGATTAGCATGAGAACATGATTTAGTTCAGTTGCAACCGACTCTAAGAATCACTGTGACTTATACGGACTAACGGTGGCAGGCATTCAGAGTTTAGTTTTAATTGCGGGGGTCAAACATTAAATTACCTAATGGATTGCATCTAAAGCGTACACTACTAGTTAAAAGTAGTCTTCCTCTATTCGTAACCAAATCATTTCGTATTTTCACTATTTATTTATTTCATGGTTAAATAGCATAATCTATAGAGGTGTTTATTATTTATATATTTAATCAATATGAACAAAAGTATGTTAAAGGGTTACTCTTATCCAAAAAATATACAGTAAATACATGTACTGAAGTATAAATGTCGAATTACTGTAGGTCTCATGTGAGACTAATCTTACAGTTTAATAAATGCGACAATAAGAAATATTCTGTAGCAATGCATACAACTTGTATAAAGTGAACATGAGCTGCAACGGAAATTATATATATGAGCCTAAAAATTCTTAATGGGCATTAATGCGGCATAAATCCCATATCGAGTTACTGTTTATCATAATGAGTTCGAAATCGAAATGTTTAGGAGTCATAAATAAATAAATAAAACATCTGTTAATGAAACTATTCAGCTCCGGGTGCATCCTCGTAACTATTACTATTGCTTATGCTACAACTATTATCGCCCTTAAATTGAAGTTGAGGTAATCCTGAATTCTGCCTAACACTTTCCTGGACATTGGAACTATCACAATCTTGATTTATGGCTTGATTTTCTTCTTTCTTATTCACATTACCAATCTTGTCTGAGGCTTTAGCAGTTTCATGATCAGCCAATTGACAAGAAAAGTTAGTAGCATCACAAATTTTTGTGCTATCCACAAACTCAGCTGTGTCATACAAAGTTTTATCTAATATCAACTCGGTGTATTCAGCTGTTGTTTTATATACACTGCTTAAATACATCTCTAATTCCTCACTGTATTCAGATACGTTATCAGGGACTCTATAAAATCTTTCATCGTCATCGCAATTTACACAGTTACTTTTATCCTCCACTTTCTGTAGAACTCCTGTTGCTGCTTCAGTTTTGTTATTACGATTACTCTCGTCATTGTCTAATTCAATTCGGAGATCATCTTTAAGAGAATTAGTTTCTGACTTATCTGTCAAATCCGCAGCCGTTACGGGTATACTAAAATCTAAAGAATCTTCGTCAGATTCTTTATTTTCATCCGGAATTATAGTTAGAAAATCTGTCTTCTCATTACTATCATATAAGCTATCATCACTATTTTCTAACGATTCTTCTGTTGCGATAGTATCCATATAATCGTTACTACTATGGATTTGATAGGCCTCGGGTGCCTCAGTTAGCTCTACTTCGTCCGGCATTTCACTGTATTCATTTGTTTTGGTAATATTCGTTATAGAAGTTGATTCACTATTTTAAGAATGAAAAATTAGAATAAATAAACACTTGATCTTGGAAATGTAAATGCCGGTATGGAACCATCTATCAATAAGGTGATCTTTCGCAGTACAAGGTAAATATGACAGATAATGCATAATTTTTATTCCGTGATAGTTTGCATAACCTTACTGCAGAGAAACATTAGAACATTCACTTTTATAAGTTAATAAATCTCACCGATTTTGTTCATTATTTGAAGGCTTAACCTGCATTTTCGCTTTTATCTACAATGCACAAACAAATAAATAGTGTCTTAAATTAGCATAATGCTAATAACACTAAAGAACGATCAGTAAAACGTACATCTTTTTTTGCGTTATGTATTTCGTAGGACGTCAGGATTTTAGCATCGTGGCCTATGTAAAAAGGGTTTTATAGAATAAAACTGTCAAATGTGGCAGTAAAGTAACCTAAAGCAAATGATATCTGAAAAATCGCATGTATCAGAATCGATAAGCTTAAACCCATCATTTATGTGGTTTGCAAATTTGCTTTACTGTGTTTACGTATAGAAGAGTTTCATTCATACTATGTTCAGAATACAAAATTTATAATATATACCGGTAACATGGCATATATAAATAGTATATTTTATAGATATCACTGTTACTATTGCCTAAGTATGGCTTGTCAGCAGCTTCTGACATTAATTTTGGTTTTATATAAGAAAAGTGCGTAATTAAGTAAGGTCGTAGAGATGTTATTGGTTTTAATATTTTTTAAAATGTATGATTTATATAAAAAATACCGATGCTTTCGGTTTCTTCGTTTGCGACATCTTGCGTATTCATTTGGTTTACCACCACTTGCATATCATGATTAAGTTGTTGTACCTGATATTTATATATACGCGTATACAAACTTAGAAGCAATTCCGGATATCTTAAGCAGCTGTATTATTTATATGAACCTGTTCGCATAGGCGTTGAATTCGACGTCTCATTAATGAATTACGAGTTATATGCTTGATAGTGTCGTTGGGAAGCTCCTGAAGTTAAATTTTATGTGATGTATAGGATAAGATTGTCAGACATTACTGCTTTTAAATAGAATCATGAGAGATAAACGATACAACGTAATTTTTCGGTGACTATTAGTTTACCTTCCGGGCTTGGTATCCTCGCCTGAACGTAATTAATTAATATATGAAATTTAAATTCAGATATGTATCTAGAGAATCAATTGAATATTACAACACTAACCAATATTTCTGGATTGAAATCGCCGCTTGATTTCTTTTTTTGCGATCTTCAGTTGCTAATACAACTTGAAGTTTTCTCATCTTTCAGATTTAACAAGTTACGGGCATCAATACCTTTGCACTTAAATTTATTTTTACGATATTCGTATTCGATATACATATGTAATTGTATTACAGGATGTAAGAAATTGCCATTAGTTTATTTTCTTTCAAGCATTTTTTAATACGAAAGTTAACCTGGTCTTTCAGTTCTTTAACTTCTTCTTCTAAACTTTTCTCCTGCACTTCATGACTTCGAAGTTGGACTATAAGGCTATCACAGTGGGCATATGTAAGCAATTATTTTATAGCAGAGCAACGGTAAAAATCGTCTACACAACTTAAGAACAAACATGCCACTAATATCTGTGTTTACCTGTTGTTCGATTTTTGCAAACGTAACGTGGTATCTTCTAAACGTCTCATTCTCAGTTCCTTTAGATTATGCTGTACAAATCTATTATGTTGCCTGGTGTGATAACCGCGCCTTTCAATAATTATAATGATATATTGGTAAGACATCCTTTGTTACTTGTACGTTTAGTAGCTATGATAATGTTGACTCTTACACAAAACCTACCAATAACTTTGTATTTTAATAGCGGATTTATGTTGATGTAAAAGGCTCAAGTATCGCTTTCGCTGAGTAAAACCTTTAATTTTTGCTTGAATCACGGTAGCCGCGTGATCCTTGCTCGTAACAAATTTTGAATACGAAAATGACGATGCTTCAGTTTTAGGTTGTAATTTATCAATTGTGTTTTCTAATTCAAGTTCCGATTGAAATACTGCTGTCTTGGGCTTTGTAGCTACACTTGTAAGTCCCAATATATTAGTATCTTCAGCACTGCTTGGTGAGGGTTCCAACGATGAAGAAATTACATCTTGGTTTATTACATCCGTTTCTATGCTGGTCAGATCAACATTATGAATTTCAGTACTTCGATTTACTGATTTTGATACAACTCTTGCACCATGGTTTTCATCTCGCTTGATTGATTCTTTATCAGTATTACGATCTTGGCTTTCTTTCATTTTATCTTCTGCATCGAAATGAATACGTTAATGGTAATATAATCTGTGAGTTCAGTAAATCAAGCGCGAAATGTAAATTTAAATAAAGATCGTTGTCCTAATACACTAAAAGAATATACTACCATGATCTACAGCATCATGTATTAACACGAAGTACGCTCGATAAAATTAGTATACTGATGGAAATAATTACCAGCAGATTCTACATTTAGAACATAATCTTCAGATAAAGGGACATAAACGGAGGTAGATGAAAGGAGTCCATCCTCATGTTGAACTCCAGAAGATCCTAAAGCTTTAGTACAGTTGATCAAGCAAATTACATTCTTGAAAGTATTGGATGATATGAGCATAGTCATAAGACTTTGTACGCAAATTTGTATTACGGTATTCGAAATCTGGACAACTGAAAGTATTAATCGTATACTCTATAAAATGTTTTAAACAGCGTGAATAGCTTTCGAATTGTCTATTTTGTCATGACGGCCATACAAACAGGTAAATACAGGTTCACACGAATAAATACGGTAGATGGCGTACAAGTATTTAAGTAAAGTACGAATTTAGCTAGCTTGTATGTACAGTATGTATGTAGCGAATCAGATTATACTATGATCATAGTGACATATTCATATTCTTACAAGACGAATCATTCGTTACCACGGAAGAATTACCAGGGTAGATTGGTTTCGTTTTAGCGTTTACACTCTTTGGTCTTTTACAACTAAACGTTGGGATAAGTGTATAAATTATGCAGAGTACATTTATGTATAGCACTGGGTAAAAAGTATTTGCTTAGCTTAAAAATTTCAAGAGATTCAATCAACGCATACCTAGCATCGTTTTCTCTGCTCTCTGCTACATTGATCTCATCATGCATACGTATAGAATCTAAAAATAAGGTAATTTATAAGTTCTACCGCCAAAGTAAAATATTAAAATATCTAAATCAAACGAGAATCTAAAATTGAAAGAATATATAATGCTCAGCAACATAACTGTAAAATAAAAGTATTACCAGTACTGGATAAAATAGATTGATTAACGGATGTATCCGTTGTATCAAACTGAGCAAGCTGTAATCCCAAATAAGCAATTAATCTTTGATGCAGGTGCTGAAGCTGCTCTTGTCGTTGCAGTAATTCTTTTTGATGCGACAGCTGTTGCTTTAGGAGTTGATTATGAAAAAATTGAAGCTGATTTTTCCATTGCGGTTGTGATTTTTGAGAGGAAACACTACTCCTTATATGTTGCCATAACTGTTGTTGATCTGCTAATTGTTGCTCGTATAATTTCTTTAGTTGTATTCTTTGTTGCTCAATTAATATTTGATGCCTTCCTTGTAGCTCCTGCAACTGCTGGTTACTACTAATACTACTTATTGTATCATTTGGCGTAAAGTTTGGTGTAGTAGTAGAATCTGATGGAACTAACGGACTACTACTTCTACTATCTTTGTCATGGTCTTCATTAATCTGTAGATGAAAACCAAGATTTTCAGTTCTAGCAGCAATATTTTGTACTTTGAAATTAAGCCATCATCACCTGTGATTTGTTGGCGGCATATTTAGAATATATCCAACGTAAGTACTGAACCAATTCGGACTTTTGACATAAAAGAATTTCTCTTCGTTCTCCTTCCATAAATTGCGCTAACATCCTATTGAAATTTAAGCGATATTACCTAACCTTAGGTAAAGACTTTTAAATTTTGAAAGAGAAATCAGTAGATAGTCGTATGATTTACTTGTCTTCCTCAGTGACTACTTCATCATCCAGATATTCTATATTGTCAAAAAAACTAATTGCAAAGGCTCTATAGATTGAGTAGCTAATTAAATTAAAACAAGCAGTTCGGTTAAGTAAAATAAGGTTATATTTCGTGTCATGAAATGCCAATGTTGCGCTAGATTTTGTTGTATGAAAGGATACAGCTGCTTATCTTTAGTTAACATAAATGGGTTGTTATTGATATACAGTTGTTGTAAACCTGGTAAGTGGTACAAGTATGCTATCTATAGTGTAAATGAGTCAAAATGAAAAATAATCAAATCAGTTAAGAATAATTATCGCGGACATAATTATTGCAATTAACTTTTTAATACCTCTCTAAGATCACTAATATAATTGTCATTAATAGCAAAAGCTTGCAGTTGCGGTGGTAGATGTATTGAAACTCTAATAATAAAAGGCAATTATAATACGATATTAAATACTTCTTAAAATTTGAATCTTCCACTGGGATAATTTTATGGCATGCTGTCTTGTGATAACCAATTATAACAGTATACCAAAGGTGTAATAACGGATGTTTTAGATGTTATTAACCTAAAACTATTTAAGGATATTAAAATTACATGAACTCACTTAGAAAGTGAGGATATTCTATTTCCTTGCAAGAAAAGAACCTAATTCCGATAAACAATGTATTGAATAAGTTTAGTAATTTCATACTGGAAAGATGGCATGAATAAGTTGATATCGTGTTTTATGGTTCAATTCCGAGAAATTAGGCGTCAATTTTTATTAGTCCATACTGATGATAATGTACTCTAACGGTCACTAATTAATAGGATAATCTATGTTATCGATACCTTTAGAAACTCTAACTTCGATAAATTCGGCAGTTCTTCAATGCTATATTGATATAAGACAGATAATTTTGTTAAAATGGAGAATTTATGATGGTAGGATTACTGTACTTTAAAATACACATGTTACAATAAATACTTACTCATTTTGAGATAAATCGATATAACGTAGATTCTTATTCAGGAACAGATTATTTACATTCTAGGCAGGGATATAATGATGCAAAAACATTTAGTTATTTTCATGTAAAACAGTTAATTGCAAGTGCACAATGTTAGTCAACATGGAATGTTGACTTATGTATAAATCATCAAGCTACCGTGGATTGTAATTTCATATGAATTAAGACTGAGGTTCCGCATGCAATTGTTTAGCTATTTCTATAATTTTCACGGTTTAATACGCTAGCAAGCTAGCATAGTAAACTGCACTGCTTGTAATAATTAAAGTGGGCATTGCGAAGTGGCTATATACTATAGTTCCTAAACCATGCTGTTGCACTCAAATGATACTATTTGTAGATAATCAGAAGGAAAAACTATAAATTGATGTCTTGCAGTTTCTACGTAATCAGATCATACTGAATGGCTTGCTTGTACTAAATACCACACTACAATTTCATCAAGCTTATAGCCAATACTGTAGTGGTAAAGATTATAGCAATAACAAATGTTGTGCTAATTTAGTTTTATAAAGTTATATAATCCCATGTTAATTCAGGGCGGATAGGGATATTGCAACTTTTAGCTGGAATATTGTACACTGGAGCTAAATTATTCTCTACTGACAGGAGTGTAGTGCTGTATAGTACATTAACTTCTATCACAAATACAGGCAGTGCACCCTATCAACTGTATCTGTATCTGAAAGGCACGGATTAACTATAAATTGTCATAATTAAATAATTATTCCTTAAAGTAGCGTAGACTATAAGAGAAGCACCTAAACTATTTTACTGCATGCAACAGTAGCAACAGAAATAACATGAAAAGTTGATACCATTACGATAGCAATTTAAAATACTCGTATAGACTACTGTATACAACTGAAATTTTTAATAATTGCATGAACAAATTTTACATCCACTCAGATTCTACTAAATCGATATAGTCCATACTAAGTAAGGATAATTAATAATTTACCGTTAAATTATTATTGGATAGGTTCAAATATTCCAATTCAGTTAAGCCTTCCAGACCTATAGAAGTAAGTAGAAGAGAATATTAATTTTAGCTGTACTGTAGTCAGTTTATCAAGACTAAGGAAATTTATGGGTGTATGTTATGGAAGTTTTTAAACTTACCGTTAATTCGAAAGATGCTGTTGTTATGTAAATCTAGATAGCGTAATTGAACGTGCAATTCTATCCCGGATAATTTAACTAATCGATTTGAAGCTACAGATAATTTTCTCAGATTGATGATAGGATGTAAACTCTCTAGCGTAGACAACTGGTTGTTGTCGAGCTTCAAAGTATCAATACTGATTTCATTTTCAATATGAAGGTGCATCCATCCTTGAGCTAAAAAAGCCATTATTAATATATTAATTCATTCATTATTCATTGCAGTTTCAACTGTCAATGACATAGTACAGTGCTAGGATATGGTGTAACTTATTGCCTATAAATGTAAAAGTTATCCCAAAATCATACAAGATAAATCGGCCACGTTTTCCTCATTATCGTCCATATCGTCAAGACCATCGAAGAGTTCAGCTGGCAGTACCTCCGCCATCTTCCCAATGTTGTTGTTGTTGTTCGTAATTTCGAGTTCAATCTTATGATTTCACCTTGGATCTATTTTTCAAATGGAGAAAAATGGACACTTTTAATGGCTAAAATGCTGAGTAAGGGCTAAAAATCGAGGTGAATTCGAGTTTATAGGCCGCTAAAACTAAGAAATTGAACGGATAAAATCAGCGAACAGAGAGCAGATTGTCCAAATATTATAGCGCTGTGATTGATATAAAAACACGACAGCTGAGATGACTTCACCTCTGACTTCTCTCGAGCAGGTTGACGCTTTGATAGTGACATGTCAGTCAAGTAGTATGACGCTCTTGCCGGTGTCAGCGTGCATACCAATCCACTGAGTCAAGAGGGTGAACTGTACAGTGTACAGTACAGCGACCTCTGACTTTGTGGCGCGACAGTGGATTATTTGAAGTTTTTACCGTGTACAGTACCAACGCTACAGTGCGCTCATTGTACAGTACTGTACTGTACGGTACAGTGTATAGTGTACAGTACACTGTACACTACAGCCAGATTAAATTGGCTAGAACAACAGAAAAATAAAATAGTGTGCGCAAAATTTATGCCTAAATTGAGTAAAATTATTATAAGAGTGTGGCTTCATAACTCCAATTTCATCATCATAATCATGTTCTACAGTTATCCTACTGGTACATCTCAATAGAATTATTAGCAAATCATAACTTTAGTTGTTCACCCCGATTTTGCCCGTGGAAATTTATCTCGCTGCACAGTGTGCTGAAAGAATGGCTTCTTTCAGTCAAAAGCATACTATGTCTCTATCCATTACCAATTTCTATACAGTACTATCACAGCTTTAGCGAAAACACACGTATGTATAGTACAGTACAGTACAGTACAGTAACGTACAGTACTGTACTGTACATACAGTACTGTACACTGTACAGTACGTGAGTGACATGACTGCATGCACTACAGTACAGTACAGTACTGAATACAGTATATTGTACTGTACACTGTACTGCACAGTGTACAGTACAGTACAGTACAGTCACTCCATATTAGCCATATTGTACTGTAGTGTAGCCCCTTTACGGTACACTGTACACTCCGGTATACACTCAGTTCCTGCTAGCCGCTGGCCGCCTCTGCAACGCCGCCGAAAATGGATGATATTGTGAATGCTTATGATAGCAGTAGCGACAGTAGTCATGATGGAGAAAGCTCAATAACCACGAGCAATGTCGACTTTCAAACTCTTAAAGAAAAATTCAATTTAAATAGTACACCACAAATTTTAATTAAGGTATGTCATGGAGATCTTGGATAGAGTTTTGACCATGTGTAGTATGCAATAAGAAGAGGTTATCACGTAAAACAGAGTTGATATTGGATCAACTCAATGATGATAGATAAAAATAGGAGCTAATCCAATGGTCATCTCATTGGAACTGGAGTCTAACCTCGACATAACCAGCTATTGATTACCTCATGCAATAACTAATATTCCTTTTATTTGTATAATAGGAAAGTGTAAATATTAGTCGAAAGATCGATAGCCACGCAAAAGAAGTCAGCTATAATCCTAAATATGAGGAACTGTTTCAACCGGAGGTAAATAAGTAGAAAAATCGTAATGGAATAATGTGTATTTGCGCATGTAACAGCACTGCTAACCCATGCTGGATAGTTAGCTAGATATACTTATTACTTACTACAGTATAGATGATCAATTGCGTGCATATGTAACAATGTATGAACGACACAGCGTCGTCAAGTAGTATTCAAAGGAGCTATTCTTTTGCACTATACATTTACATATTGTCAAACTGACCTAAAAAAAATACGCTTGACATACTCTATTTCTAACCTTTGCATTGGAGTCTGACATGGCCTGCTTATACTTTTTTATTCATTACATTACATGTATGACTAACAATACATAGACTACAAAGTTATTTCCTAGTATATTTAACTACACACTGTAAATGAGTTTGATGTAAGAACATTTTGAAAATATTACAGTACTGTAATTCTATAGCAAAGTTGCTTTGTGGTATACACAATAAAGGAATTTAATATGAGGGTTATTACAAATGATAAATCCATGTGCACTGTAAATATTGCCAGCATTCTACTGTAATGTTCTATCTATCAATTCTTAAACCAATACTTAATTGTATATGAAACCGCATCGATGAGCTTAGGTTGGACCTCTAAATCCTTTCAAAACCAAGCAGCAAGCGGCACCAAAAAATACACTCTCAGGTGTGAACTTCAAGATAATTCTTCTATAAAGTGACCAAGTAACTCTTTATACAACACATTTTAGTTTAATGTATGTAAATTTTACTACCTTTTAGGCTATGTAGAAGATAGTCATTTCAATGATTTCCAGTTTGAAAATCAAAGAAGGACATTTTCTACCCACGGTAATAAATATACCCTAAACCAGTTATTTTTTATTACTAATAGTGAAATTTACTATTATTATAGGTGAATGGTTAACTGTCCTAATCTATTGCTTATTTATTATTTACATTAAATGCAGGTTACGCGTTAGACCCTTCTGTTGGTAATAGCAATTCTTCTGGAAATAAGTTCGTACTATCTGCAATAATGATTGAATTAATTCAAACAATCTCAAAGGTCTTTACTTATGTGCTCTTTGAATTACATTAACTTATCTACGATCCTTAATTAGCATTATCGGCGATATCGATATGGCCAGTCAATTAGACGGTAATGAAAGTTTAATTCATGTATTTTTTCAAATTGGATTCTCTTCCATTTTTAATTTAAAGATTAAACTCGATATGAACTGAAAGTTTAATCAATCTTTAATGTGTAGGAAGGACAGTTTTTGAATCTGGTAAGAGATTCGGAATTGAGAAAAGAAAGCGTGGCGAACGAGGAGATCCATCGGATATTGATTGTTATAAAGGTCTGAATCTTAGCTGATAAACCACTATACGCACTGTTATGCCATTGTAAATACTGTACTTTACTAATATTGTAAGAGTACGAATCTATAGGATGCTTTTTTAGTTAGATTACGTAACTTTGTATACATACTATAGGTCCTTGGGCAGGCTATGTTGATGAGAATAAAATTGCAAAACCTACAGAGGTGAGTTATGCTGCTTTATCTTAAGAAATTGGTTGTCACAATGCGATCGCGTAAACGTTAAGGAAAATTTGCGTACATCTTTTGAATCAATGTAGGAAGAGCAGGCTGTACTTGATGATTGGAAAACAGTAACAAGCAAGAAAAAGAAGGAAGAGACTGTTGTCGATGAAAGAAGCACACTTCACAGTACGGCATCTATATATGTATTGCCTTTGATAACGAATCTAAGAAATTAGGATGCTTTACTATAATGTAATCGGGTTAATACTAATAGCTGACTTTGCTCCCGCAGTAAAAGATGCATTGGATTATCAAGGGCGATCTTTCCTGCATCCTCCTCAAGATATGGGAGTTAGACTCAACTCCGAAGAACCACCGGAAAAATGCTTTTTACCGAAGAAGCATATTCATACTTGGTAATATACACGTATATACTTAGAATAATGTATCTCTTTAAAAGGTCCGGTAAATAAGTATTTGTTACACGCTGATTAGTCTAACACGCGTACTCCTTCTTATCAATGGCGCAGGACTGGTCATACAAAAGGCGTATCTGCTATTCGTTTATTCCCACTTTCAGGTCATCTGCTTCTGTCCTGTAGTATGGACAGTAAAATTAAGGTCTGTTATGCTTTTGGGATAGATATTGTATGATAGTAAAAGATAATGAAAAATTTATTATTAATAATAGCTATGGGAAGTATACGGCAATCGAAGATGCATTCGTACTTACCTAGGTATACTTCGAAAGAATAGATTTTACAATGTATAAAATATTTTCATTTATAAAAATTTTTATTTAAAACCGCTTTCAATTTATGCCTTCGTAGGACATGACAAAGCTGTTAGGGATATCTGCTTTAATAATGATGGCACTGAATTTTTAAGTGCAGCCTATGATCGTTATATAAAGCTATGGGATACAGAAACTGGTAGGCTGCTCTATATTATTGTTGTTAACTAGCTTGATATTCGATCACGTTATATTTCGTACATACTATTTTAGGTCAATGTAAAGGCAAATTTACTAACAAAAGGATTCCTTACTGTGTCAAATTTAATCCGGAAGAGGTAATGCATATCGAAGTGTTTCTTAAAACAATTGCAATCACGATTTTGAAATGGCTGTCCATCATTCTATGTAGGATAAACAACATTTATTCATAGCTGGATTAGCAGATAAAAAAATTGTTACGGTATGTATTGGATCTTTCGATGTAGCTTAACTCTTGTATTATTTCGAGCAAGCATTGCCTTCTAGCTTGACGTCGGCTTACATTTTATATAGTGGGATATGAGAGCTAATGAAATTGTGCAAGAATATGATAGGTAATCTAACATCTTGTTATCTTACACTGGCTATTGATTTATAAATCTGAGACAATTTAAATTTATCAATCAACTTTAGGCATCTTGGTGCTGTTAATACCGTAACATTTATAGATGACAATAGACGATTTGTGAGTACTTCAGACGACAAGAGTTTACGTGTCTGGGAATGGTATGTATCACTTTAAATACATTCTTGTCATCGTCATCGATGCTGCAGTACATTATTACTGAGCGCTTTCCTTCCATAACAGGGATATTCCAGTAGATTCGAAATATATTGCTGATCCTTCCATGCATTCTGTACCAGCTGTAACTCTTTCACCTAATCGTATGTAGACCTAATTTTATTTTATTAAGTGAAATTAGTTATTAAAGTCATAATTCTAGCATAGATTTTATTTTATTTTAAAGTTAAGATTTTTAACTATTCGTTTCGCACCAGAAAAATGGCTAGCTTGCCAATCTATGGATAATCAGATACTGATATATAACGCGCTAAGTAAGATGAGAATGAACCGAAAGAAAGTATTTAAAGGTCACATGGTTGCTGGATATGCATGCCAAGTTAATTTTTCACCAGATGGAAGGTAAGCTACAATAGAATACCTACTCATATATAGTATGCACCTAAGTTACGAATTGGTAATTCATAGATAGTCACAATTGAACGCGTATTGCTAACATATTTTTCTTATTTTGTTTCTAGTTACGTGATATCTGGAGACGCAGACGGCAAGTTATTCATTTGGGATTGGAAATCAACGAAAGTATATAGGTTAGATTCACATAAAGTACTGTGATTTTAATTTATTATTTCTCAAAATAATAATTATCAATTTTTTATATTAGTAAATTTAAGGCTCATGATCAAGTATGTATCGGATGCTGTTGGCTACCTCATGAAACATCGAAAGTGATTACATGTGGTTGGGATGGATTAATAAAGTTATGGGATTAGGTCATCGTTTTAAATTTATTTTATATTGTATGATTAATTAACGTACACCGAATCTTCGGATAATTTATCTTTTACCTGATATTAAAGCTTTATACTATAGATATTAATTCTACAGTTTAGAATTTAGTCGACAGTTTTCATACAGGACCGCTGAAAACATATGAACATTGTTATAAAATTCAAATTTTCAACAATTTGTTGCGTATTATTCTTTGAAATTGTTATAACAATTCCTTCCATTACGATATGAAACGAAATTAATACCATAAGTTTATGGTTATCATGGATTATTGCAGTTTTGTAAACTAGTTATAATGATAAGCATAATGCATGGTTGCATATCTTATAAATCTGATATCGACCGTATTGGATGGTGATTATTGTTAACTAGTCACCTGTCCTTTTAAAGTTTGGACAGATCATCTACGATCGATGTTAAAAGAATTACTAACTCAACATAGTCGATCATCTGAACACCTACGTAATGCATAAATTTAATGGATCTTGATATGATACAGCATAGAAAGTCAGTAAAAATGGTATGGGGTGCAGTCATGATGTAGTATCGTTATTCATTGGTATTAATTTGCTTGTAAATCTTCTAAAAGATATAGGTGATTAAAAACGAATATAAAATTTCATGACGTTCTATAATGTACGTATATAGTATGGTAAACCGCCTTCTGTTGCTATGCATGAATTTTGCAGTTTGCGAATGTATATTATATCTGTCATGGTTAGAAGATTGAAATTCTAATGTCTTGAGAATACGCATAGTGTAGTTACGGTTTCGTGAGCACGTTACATTTTATGAAATGCTACAGAAGTAAACAAGGTTTACTAGAGAAGTTAAATATATGATTGCGTTATTGTTTAATGTATTACATAGTTTACTTTCAATCCGGCATTTTACAAGTTATAGTCTAGTGCACTGTAGGTAGCTTTGAGGTGAATTGCATCATTATAATCTTCAAACTGGTACACAAGAACTACCAGATACAGAACACTTTGATAGGAATAATTTTTAAACATGTAAAAGTTACACTCTGATGAGGTGTTAAAGAAAGTTAGCATGCATCCGTTACAGCTCTTTATATCCTAAGAAGCATTCTTAATTTAGCTACCCTATGTAAATGGTGATTGGCTTGGCATTTATTTTGAGGTGATGTACAGTACAACAGCTACCGTACAATAAAAAGGCCATAAACATGTATCAACATTGGCCGGCTGAGTTGAATATGCAATCATACAGGATTCGATAGAAGTATAAACGTTTATATCTTGCAATAATAAGGAAATACGATACTGACGCAACAATGACTAGTAGAAAACTTCAGCAAACAGCTAGCTGTACAAAAAATTTTAATCATATGCGTACTTCAATAAACGATTGCCACATACTAGTGCCAAGTATCTATTCTTTGTAACTGTGATACTAGCAGACAAATAATATTGAACAAAAGATGGACCATTAGTAAGGACTACGAGGAAATAGTTAAAGGAATATCGACTATACCAATTTTTGAATGAGAAAAGTACAGGATGGCAAACTCAACAACCGTACTATAAAAACAATCTCAAAAAGCACTAAGTTTCTCCATGAACGAAATTAAGAGATAAATTAATTGACCAGATACTTTTTAACGTTAGGCTAACATTTGGGGTATGGTAGGATCTTCAGTAATTAACATTGTTCCGTCAATGTGATGGCCAAACGCTTACGATCACAGAAGTTAACTGATCATGAATACTATGGACAGTAACAACCGGAATAAGGCATGATACAAAATGATTTCAAAGTTATCAATAACAGTCGAATGATGTCAGATAAAGAAACTTTACAGCCTGTCATTCTTATTTTAAAAATTATTAATCTAGTGTCTGGTCGAATTACATCATCGACATCTTTCTAAAGACGAGATATAATTATAAAGCTTTAGTATGGTCGACTTCGTCTCATACGCGGTGGTACTAATGCGATGTCTAAATAATCACCAATTTGAAATTGGTCACCAAGAGTGATTTGGTCTCCTTCGCTTTTTTGGCCAGAGATAGTTTTACCGATATCTCTTAATCTATAACCACCACGCTTATCTGGATAGACAATACCAAATTCAAAGAACGTGCCTCTACGTCTTGAATCGCTATTAACCTCCTTAATCAAACCCATCAGTTCTTTTAAAGTAGCATCTTTCCACGTGTAAATTTGTAATTCGTTCATTGGAACTCTACCTCTAGAATATTCTTCCATTCTATAATGCCTTCCAACGTTATAAAATACTCTTAAGAGAAAGGGACAAATTTTTTTCCTATCTACAGGTACAATTTTCTCTTGATCTTTATCTTTTCCAGACTCAGGTTCATAACGCCTTTGCTCGCCAGCATCACGTTTGTCGGCCATGATAGCTTGGTTAGTCCAGTTACTAGCTCGATCTTGCTGATGAAGGCATGTACGCACGCGTGCAGCATCAACCAATCTTCATGGAGGTAAGAGGTTTATTACCTCTATGGTACCTTTATTGTGCTAGCTGCTGTATGGGTAGCAATACTGAGTACGGTAGTTGAGGCGCAAAGAGTTGATCACCTCAGCAAAGTGTACAGTACAGTACAAGTGTGTCAGCTGCGTACAGTATTTGTTACGGGCAATGTACTGTACACTGTACAGTACTGTATTCTGTATGGAAGCAGAGTTAAAAGAAATGAAACCTACGGTACGTTACTAAGATACGTGTAACCACGGTACCATGTTAATTTTTCGTGAATTTAATCTCCGTTTTGGTCTCCAATTAAGATAATGTACAGTATATGAGTTAACCGACTAGATGAATGCACATAGAATCTAAAGTTCAGTAAGTCAAGATATGAAATATTAAGATATGTAGTCATGACAGTTAATGGGTTCTAAATACGCGTATGCGTGTGTGTACGTGTATATGCCTGTCTTACTATGTGAATTTACGGGTATAGTACTATACTGTATGTTTAAATGAGCTTAATAAATAATTATAATAATGGTCAACGTCAACTTTACCTATACCTACACCAGAACCATATTATATAAATTGTAGTACTACGATATCACTGTTTTTAGCCCATTTCAGTACACAGACTAAAAAGAGAAAGAAAATTGCTAATTAAGTTTTTGTAAGATTGATCGGGTGCAATTTGTCAGCATCGAAAGTTACGAGGTATCGTTTTCTTTCTTGCAGATACGTCGTATAATTCATTTTTCTTGTAATTGAATTGACTGCATTTTCATATGGCGGAAATAGATGATGATTCTGGTAAGTCTGTGATTTATACTTTAACGATGATGACTCGATACAGTTCTCTAACATGCTTTGTGCATCGTGTGTAATACTGTAGTGTTACCGATTTAAATATCTATCAATGCATGGCTATAAGATATTAATGTAACAAATATGAAGAATGTTAAAATAGTGAATATGTTACAATATAACCTGCAGATGTTGCTACATTATCATAGTTTATACGTACTTACTGGTATAGAGATGCAATTTTATTGTAGAAATCCCTGAAATGTGGGTGTTATCCGGCTAGTATTCAACTATTATTTATTTCTTAGATGTGCCTCCACTGGAGGATATGTCAGACTTGATCGGTAAAGTGCAAGCAATGCGTACAGAAACATCTCAAGAAGTTTCATATAATACAGTTGACTCTAATTACCCCAGTGGCCAGTCTGCGATAACGGATACTAAGCATGAAGAAACTACTCAGTACAAGGTAACAGAGTACATGATGCTAGTTACGTTTTTTCAGCTTCATTTAGATTATTTATTTTAATATTACTGTATTTGTACATTTTAGGCTAGTAATGAATCAACAGCTAAAAAGAACAATTTAACACAAAGTAGCCAATTTGGTGGATTTAAAAGCGGATTTCTCAATTCGAAGCCAGCTAAAGTTAAATCTCATAGTAAAGTTGAAAAAAAAGGAGGTAAAGGTGCAAAAGAGGATGATTTGGAATTTGTCAAGCCCAAAAAATCAAAAGAGGATGAATTAAAATTTCAAGAAGTTCAGGATGCTATAAATCAATCTCATCCGTTACTTAAAAATAATGGTAAATTTGATTTTGTATATCAATGCTGTAGTATCTCTTATACATACATTTAAAATTGAATGAATTATATACGGACAGAGTTTATCGTGCTATCAATCATGGTTAAGATTAAGCGAAGAAGAATAAATAACGATTGATCTATGATATAATTCTGTATACCTTTAGTATCATATCATAATTATAGGTTTTCTTTCTTCATACCTTAGACTGGGTAACCAATGATTTATTGACCAAGATACAAGCGAATCCTCGTATGCATAAGCAAATAAGTGATCCACGCTTTGTTGCTGCATTAAAAAAATTTGAAACTGATCGTGAAGGAGCAATGAAACAGTTTCAGGGTGACCCTGAGCTTCAGCAATTTTTCACAGATTTTTGCCAACTTATGGGAAATCATTTTCTTAATATTTCTAAAGATAAAGATCCCTCAAAATCAGGTATGACAATGTTTTATATCTTTCTGAAAAATATTATATTCTAATAGTAGTGTTATACATATTAGATCAGAACGAAGCTGCAGCTGCAACGGAAAATAGGCTTACTCCGAAGAAGCTCTCGCCAGAAGATATAAGAGCACAACAAATAGTATCCGATCCCAAGATAGCAAAAATTTTAAACAATTCTGAAGTAAAAGAATTCATAGAACTTCTGAAACGTAATCCAGAAGCCGCTCAGCAGTAAGATTATATTATCAAACTGTTGTAAAAGTAATAATCAAAAATCAAATTTTAGTTCATTACCGTATATATTTTACAAAGTTAGAATATATCGCATTAGTAGTCGCCATTTCTGTGTCAGACAACTAACGTTTTTATAAATTTAAAGCGTTTATCATAATTTTTCTACATAGGTATTTATTCACCGCTCCTAAGGAATTACGGGAGAAATTGCAAAAGCTTGTTGAGTGTGGAGTTTTATCAGTTCAAAGAAGTTAAAAATATTTCAATGAGTACTACACAGCAAGCATATAGTGGGTTTTTTTTGTAAATACTTCGGTCTTAGTTGCTGTTCTGTAGCGGCATAACTGTAATATCCTTACAGAAACGGATGCTAAATTTTAGATAATTAAAACTCCCTCTTGCAGGTTTATTGGCTTACGCTAACTTATTATTTCACTCATATTCTGATAACTTCGATGGTGATAGTTGCAATATAACAGCCATGCGATCTAGTTACTGCCGCATTGGCAACCTGTATATGATGAATCTTCAATCTCTTTTGTTTCATGGTATGTGTACTAAAAGTTATATATCACTAACCACAAACTGCGTGAAATATACTGTAATACTGTACTACCGAAGTGTTCAGCGTGAACACACGATACAAGTACAGAGTATACGAACGTGCATTTTTCAATTAAGTGAAACAGTATTTTGCTTATTTGTGGTAATAAATTAAAAGCTCATTAAGTCATTCGGTTGAACTAATGTTTATGGAAGTACAGTATAATTGTACCGATACAGTAATTTTAATTCCGTGAATGCACGATGACGATAGTTTACGTCTGAAGATTATGCATTGCCCAAACTGATGATAGGGCATACCATGATTCATTAAATTATAATACCAAATAGATTTTGATGTCTGGAGATTTTTACGCTCTCAGACAGTAAATCCAGTTACATGCAAATGTAGAATAAAAACATACTAGTTTTTAAAAATAGAAATCGAGGTTTCCAGAAATTAGATACTGTACAAGTATTTGTGTAAGACCCTATCGGTCTCATCCTCGCTATGGTATTTCAGCTTCTAGAAATAAAGGTTATAGCTCTGTAGATTGGATATAGATGGCACGCTTACCGATAGTATCTTACTTATTATAAGCATCATAAATTTTACCATTTTGCTATTATATTTGATCAGGTTAAATGATTTCAAACTCATCAATACAAGTTACACCTAGATATACAAGGCCTTTGGGTCTAACCACCTAAATTTCATTGACTGTCACCACGAAGTATATTTGCAGCTAGTGCAACAGGAGTTACAGATTTATGTCGATTACTACATGCGAAACTAAAAAGCAATACTTAATAATTAAACTCCCTTGATGTCACAGTATGAAATCAAAAAATTCCTAGGTTGTAATAATAGTACTCAATGAAGGAAATAGCGAAATATTTTTATCAATTTGACCCGAGATAGAGCCGTTTATTAACAAACGATGTACAGTAAATTTAGTTGTGACCAAGAGCTGCTAGCGTTTCATTTACTGATTTCAATTGATCAGCTTTATCAGCTTCAGCTTCCCTTTTGAATTTCTGTTGAAAATGGTCAAGTAGCATATAATTAGGAATAGGCTTTCACCTAAGCATCGCAATATGTAAACATTCAAATCTTGGATAGCGTTCAGTCATACCTGTAATCTTCGTTTATTTTCATAGAAGGCTTTTGCCTTAGCCTTTCGTTTTTCCTCCAAAGTTGATATTATATCATTATATTTCCAACCAACTTCACTCGATAACTTACCGACTACGGTAAATTTACGACGTGGCTTAAGTTGGACTACTCTCAGAGCAGCAGGAACAACCAAACGCTTCATTTTATCGTAAGGAGCTGGAATGCCTTCAAATGTTTTCAATCTGTTGAGAGCTTCTTCACCTCTTTTCGTTTTGTGAGGAACCATACCTACATAACGCAGGGTCATCAGAAATGAGTTCAAGTCACCTTTATTACGATTACTTTGTCGATAAATTGCTACTGGCAGCAGATCTCTTTTAATTGGCTAACCTCGTACGGTTCTCCACAAGATACGACTAGGTGCTCTGAAATGGAATGGGCCTCTTCTAGGATTGACGTTACAACGCTTTCTCAGAAAATCCAGATACTTCACTAAAAATGTGCAAGTAATGAAAGGAATAGTAACAATATGAGTTTACAAGCTGTTACCTAAGACCATTTAGATAGCGTCAATACATACATTTATTTCTGTAGAAGCCACCGCTAATGTTCAACTCTTCACATCGTACTACTACAACTCTTTGACCTAAATTTTAATCACCGTACGTTCGTTATTTTATAAATTTATGATAATGTTAGTATATCGATGCTAGTTTGAAATTATTCATTCTTACCGCTTAAAATTGTTTTAGCAATTGTAGAAGCTAATCGGCCCAATAAGTGATTCCTGCCGTCAATGATAATTGCCTAATTGTATAAGAATAACCAAAAAATAATGCGTTATACGAGCAAGACATATCATCACGATTCATGATTATAAAAAAGCTAAGGTTGCGAACATCAAAAAGAGTTAATCAAGACAAATGAATCTGTAGCAGGTTCAAATGTAAAACTAGTTATTTTTATCAAGTCCTATTAACATCGACTTTACATAGAGATATAAATAAGCATGGGACTGAAGAAACAGCCATCAATTGCAATTATTATGATCTTTGTTCATGCATTTTCTATTACGGCAGTGTGATGAAGTAAAACATAAAAGCTATTTTTAAGTCGATTGCCTAACAGTTGTACTATTGAGGAGACCGAGGGCTTACTGAAATGCATGAGAAATTATTACATTGTACATCGACATAGGATAGCATGCAGCAATGGTGAATTTGGAGTCAGTAAAAATGGGGTGATATTTCGAATTATACGGCTATACTGTATACTCGAACGTCAATTTTTGAACCAATTTAATTCTATGGGACACATCCTAGATTCTATTTCTGGACCGTTGATCTAAAGAGTTCATGAGTATGGCATATAGCTCAAGAGAGCAATTAATTTATTCAGTTTGTTCACGATAAACCAATTTTCTATCACCTACGTATAGTACAGTATAACATTATTTTTCAACTTCATTGCAGTGTGGGAATTCTAGTTTTGTAGATCACCTCAGAATTAGCGAATAAAACACCACTACTGTACTGGATGATATAAATATACCGTACTTGAAATGATAGGATCATAACCATCTAAGGTGGTAGCGAGATATCGGACATACAATCTCGAGAATTGAATGTATTTACTTGAGTGCAGAACCTAAATATTCATAGTTTTGTGGAACTTTTTTCAACAATAATGGTGCAACGTGAGAAATGGAGTACACGATGTGCCATTTCCAGATAGGTTCTGTACGAGTATAAAGTACTCTGACATACATTGCCATACAGCTATTCATGATAATCTCTGTGTCGAAATTTCAGATTCTTTCACAGTACCACATATACAATAATTCGCAAATGTTTATGATTCCATTTTGACTCCTCAATCGTATTTTAAAGCGTGAAAGTTTAGGCTTGTATAGTCGCTTCAGCTTTTACGACTTCTAAAGTTCACGAGCGAGGCCGTTCAACGGTCGAGAACGATCAGCACATTATCAAAGAAGTCTCTGCGTATACATATAAATGACTAAAATATCATGATTTATATGGTAACATGGAGAATCGTACAGTGTAACTTAAAGAAATCTACATCTATTTCTTTAATCTATAAAGGACGATTGTGGATAAAACAGTCAAAAAAATCATTTCATTTTCTACTTACTTTCTCGAAACCCATCTTCCTTGACTTGCTTTACCGAAAGAGAAGGAGTTGAGTATTCCACATGGTGTTATACGGGGCGGCCACGCGATCGTGCGTACTAAAGGGCTTTTGGCATGCGCATTAGACAAGGACTCCCCACTCATTGCAGTAGAGATTCTTATTACAGATCGGACTACTACTGAGTCATGACCGTGTCTTCTGACTACAGTAGGTATACTGTGCTCTGTATACTGTAGTACTGTACGGAACATAGTAACCATGTACAGTACAGTACAGTACACTGTAGATTCTACAGTCAGACTACTGTACACTGTACTGTACAGTAAAACATTTGAAACGATTGCCATATGTACAGTATGTGAAACGGGATGGGAGTCCTGTAGCCACCACTTCGAAAATCAGTCCTAAAATGGCAGGTATACGTTTCTGTGATGAGATGCAATTTTAGGACTGATTTTGGAAGTGGTTACTTTTAGGGGCTCGATGATCCAAATCATTCACATTCAGAATAGTAGGTGTATCCGTTGGTCTAAAATTTGCCACCAGTTCTCACCGGCTCAGCATGTCTGAGGGACTCGTGGTACAGTACTAAAAATCATGTCACCCTATGGCTGTAAAAGTATTAGGCTTAAAGCGACATTGGTTTTCCTTGCAAATGAGATCTGCCGAATTTAGCAACATCGAACCATACAGTACAGTACTGTGGAGTGCTAGCTTGCTAACCCAGTTACACAGTACTGTATGCATCAAACTGTCCGTTGCCGTGAATACAGTATGACTGTAAAGTATACAGTACTGTACGCGAGGACCTTATACAGTACAGTACAGTACGTACAGTACGTACTACTGTACGTACTGTCGAGCTTGGAGGTTCTCTACTGTACAGTACATGTACAGTACAGTACAGTACACTGTACAGTACAGTGTACTGTACGTACAGTAAAGTACTGTACTGTGCAGTGTACAGTACTCTGGAAGATACTTTTACCAGTTATGATCATTCTGCTTATTTACCTACTGTTATTTCTGTTCAGAAAAACAACAAACAACATAGAGTGCTAACTTACCTAACCCAGAATGCATCAAATTGACAATTGCTATAGAGTAGAGTATAAAGAGACCGTTTCTAGGTAATTTCGAAACGACTAGACTGTACACTGTAAACAGAGAGGAAGTTGGTCTGCTGTACTGTACTGTTTTGTACTGTTCCAGTACACTGTAGAAGATTCTTTTACGAGTTCAAATGATCCTATTGAAGCATTTGTGGAAACCAGTGGGTACAGTACGGTACTGTAGTTGACTCACCGGTGTGATAACTCGTCTTGATAAGCCACTAAACGCATCTTTTGACCATTACAAGCTGGCAGTCATGACTTTCAAGTGATGTCAGCGCTCACTGGTTGAGATTACTTGTAGTTAGGAAGTAATGAGTATCAGGAATTGGTAGGCGATCATTTGATGTATGCATGAGTTAGTAGAGAGATCCATCATTCTTATATTGAATAGTTGTCGTTCTACTACAACACAACTTGGATAACGATTCAACAAGTCAATAGAATAAGGGTTAATTGTATTCTTATCATCGTCAACGTACGCACATACGGACGTTGCGGGTGCTTTTGCTTGTTCCATTTGCAGCTTGTTGTTTAGGTAATCATTTGAACTTGTCCTACTCTTCTTATCGATACCAACCACTGTGAAGATGAAGATGGCCGATGATACTTTGATGTCATGCGAAGGTTTCGAATTGTTCACTGCCCTACAAAATAGCGATACAGATGGGAGACAGAACGTTATGCAACATATCATGGAGTTAATGTGTGAATGGGCTAGAAATACTCAAATTGATCTGGAGGACGAAACTAAATTAAAGCCTTATTTATGTACTCTACTAAGAATATCTTACGAATGTCCGTATGAAGAAGAACGTCTGAAATGTCAAGAGTTATTACAGGATCTAAAGGTAAACCAATAGCATTTTTATTGTCATAAGCTGAAATCGTTTGAAGTTGAATCATCATGTTGGCACTAAACGATATTTGTGACGAAAGTATTGATTGTATCATACCAATCATTCAACGTTGGACTTCCCTTAAAATTGTACACTATCTGTCAAAATAGCCACAATCTTGCGCAGACATACGTTGTGATAGGTCAGTTTAGCTTTTCAGCGCAAAAAACAACCTACAATTTTATTTGAATTTTGATACCAAATGACTAAGGTGAAAAAGAATGCATTCGATAGCTAAATGAATTTGAAATGAGCCCATATAAAATCGTGTTAGTACAGGCTGGTAGATACTGTAGTAAAAGAATTGACGAACGTACAATGACGAGTATTGCATCATTTTCAAGTCAATGCTCTATCTCGTACAAGTTTTTTTTTCACTAATAGAACAGCTTCTGTATAATGAAGATTTGAATACAGATTCCTTGGCATTAATTCATCATCAATGCTGTAGCTTCGACAAAAATTGGATCCAACATTCCAATCGAACTTATTATTTTAACCTTAAAGTAATATGATTGAGGTTCTTTTGCTTTTTGCAGTGTATTATGCTACGTCGCACGGTGCACTCATTTGCTGAATCAGTAACTATGATTTGCACGATTTATGTTCATCAAATTCAACCTATTGCATTATCACGACACTCCTGGGATCAATGTTGTTCTCACTACTACTCTTGTTATGAACATGAATTGAAACTAATGTTTTGTAGAATGCCATCATCATAAATAAATAATATTGTACAGTGCAAATAGCAACTCATCGAATCGTTGTGAACTACTTTGCACCATACGTACATGATATATATGTATAATATCATGAAACCACTTACTGCTACATAATTACTGCTAACTTTCTATATTTAAATTTCTAGCTGTAACTACGCTCCAACGTATTACAAAAATCTGAGATAGTTGTTAATACACAATGGTATTGTAATACTATATTGTGTCGTAATTGGATTTTTATTGATTTGTCATCCATTACAGAAATGAAGATTTTGAACTGACAGTATTAATATCTTAGTGTTGATACTACTGTCTACTGTATGTGCAACTGCTACTTATAACTAACCATCATGAAAATTGATGGCATGATAACTACTGATAAACTAATACAGTACGGTATACGCGAAAGACACTATATAGTAATTTAAAATTTTTTAATCATGATTGTTTTGATCATATAGTAGAATATCACCCAATCTTCTGTTCACTTTATTTAAATGATTGCCATGAATTACTTGACTGCCTGTGATAATAGTTGATGGACAACTCTATTCACTTAGTTCTAGTAGAACGATAGTTATTCGTATTTGATTGGTAGTAGTACAGAACTAGCGATTGATTGATCAATTACGAGTACAGTACATGTAGTACTCGTATATAGTGGGACAATTGGTAAATGATGTTGTATCATATTTGTTTTCTTTAATTTGCAATCTCTCTCTTTTACAGAATGAATACCACATCGACATTCCTAAAAGATTACAAAACAGGCCGTCGAAATTTGTAGATATCTCGGAGGTATTTGATAATTTATTGTACTGTATACTATACTACTAGTATACGTGCTTGTTGGATGTTAAAAAATGTAGTTTCATCTACTTTTTTCAATGTTGACCACGGAAAATACTAAACCTAGTTACATGTATGAGTCATAATTATTCCTATCACTCGCTTCCATCTTGGTGGGTTACTAATCGTATGAACACTGCACCATATTTTATGTACACGATAGTCATTCTATAACCATATTAAAAATTTTCAATCACTTTAAGGAAGCAGCTTTCATTTCAATATGCCCAACGTATTGGGCAAGCTACAGTATATTAGGCGTTTAAAATTTTGATAGGATATTTTTGCGAAACGATTTATGCTTAAGAAGGGTGGCCGCAATTGATATTTTAATTTATCTATGACAAGATCAGTGTACTGTAGTTTGATGATTGGGCGATGGATCGCTAGCATTCCGTATTAGCAACGATGTCAAGAGTGCCAATTTGAGTGGGTGATTTGAAGGACTGACGAATAAATTAATCGACTGAGTGATAAACAAGTGGCTAAATGAAACTTGTTCAATTTTGCTTCATAGTGTTGATCTATCCATAATATGCCATGCAATGGTCAAGATACACCTTGCATAATTTCCCCGCCAAATGATTCATCTTTGTCAGTTGAACACCATTAGCATGGTTAATCTGCATGCCAATTTAGCATCCTATCTAGTCTTGTGAGCGGTCGATGTTAAGTTATAGCATTGCTATTGCCCCTTTTATTGAACGTTTCATCATTCCAATAGTGCGTTGGTCTACCTACTATTCACACTCTTGCAAAATACGTACCGCTTCTGATTTAGAACTATATCAACATTATTCCTTTTATCTAAGTATGCATTTCCTGTAAGTTAACGTTAACATGTATTAAGTCATCCACTTTTACGGACATATGCACGATATATATACAACGTATTCGAGGAGAAAAGTAAAGATTTCACCCACTCATTTCTATGCGCCGTAACTTCCTCATTATACTGTACAACGAATCACGTACAATGGAATAATCTGTCTGTACACACTTATAACGCCTACTTTTATTGATCCGAGTATGTACTTTACAACATTACATACGTTTTTGTATATTTTTAGAAGCGCACGGGACACGGCACAGGGCTTGAATTAATTCAATCCCTTTGTCAGTTTTCAGTGCGTGGATCACGTACGATAGAAAGATCCATGGCAAAGTTCTTGTTCACTTTTACTGTTCATGCAGATCGATGTGTTCGTGAATGAAGGGATAAAGAATTGCAAGTTCTGTAGCCACAGTACGTAACAGTATCGTAGTTAACGAATGCAATGCCCAACAAGTTGACGGATCAATGTGACAAGGTTGATCAATTATATTTTATTTTAGTCTATTCGTGTGATGGATTACTATCGATTTTAGACTAGAGTATAACATCTTCAACAAATAGGGTTGATTTCTGCAAAATAGTTGGATTTAGTTTATTTATTTTATTTTTCTTTGGGTTATTTTTCAAGTTCAAAGCACGGCATGTTCAATGTGAGAGATCTCGATCTTGTAAAAGCCGATAAAGATGATGCAATATCCGCTTTCGTTCTTTACTGCGCATGTTTTCTTGCTTGCCAACTTCATTGTCATTAATTGAGAGAGACAATACATTTCTACAGTACGCAGTACAGTACAGTGCACTGTAGTCTGTTGAGAGAGATAAAAGAAAACTTTTTATACGTTACTCTAAACATCGCTCTGAACAAGACTAGCTGTAGCAGTACAGTACACGTACGTGACGACAACGACTGTCATGAACTTCTAGAGGCGTCTGGAAGTCCGTGACACTGTGCACTGTAAAATTAGAATACCAAATACTGTAGCTGATGAAAGTTGAATGAATGCAACAATAAAATCCTACAGTACTGTACTGTATTCAAGAGCTTCTTGCACCAGTACAGTACACGTACAGTACTGTACAGTACGTGACTACAACGACTGTCATGAATTTCTAGAGGTATCTGGAAGTCCGTAACACTATGCACTGTAAAACTAGAATACCAAATACTGTAGCTGATGAAAGCTGAATGAATGCAACAATAAAATCCTACAGTACTGTGTACTGTATTCAAGAGCTTCTTACTATATTGTACTGTAGTTCACCAAGAATATACTGTGGGAGTGTATATCAATGACGCAACATCGACCATTTCTATCACTTTAAATCAGAAAATTCTCCTAGCAAATTTGTAGACTAAAGAAAGATACGTTTAACTTGCGACATTGTACCAAACTCATTTTACACTGAAGAATCAGTATTAATTGTCATGTAAAGCTCGTTCAGTAGATCGAGTTGGCTGGTGTTAGTTATCGTAGACAAGTATGCTCTACAATTTGAAATTATTTTATTGTTAATTTAGCATAGTGTACTAGATAAGAAATTATCGAGAGTAAAAATGATCAAATTGTTGTTATCTTCTACTATTCACTATTAATATGCTTATTATCACCTTTTGTTGTCATAGATTGAAGTGTATAAAACCATGGAGGAATCGGTAATTTATTGTTTTTCTGCTTATTTTACCCAATATAGAAAAAATATTGTAGCTAGACTTTTACCCCTAAATAAGTTTGCAATTATAAAATAACATGATAGCAAATAGTTTCCTTGATAATCTCCTCGACATGTAATATGAATTCTTGGCCTTGCTCTACTTATGCATCTTATATAGGTTCAAAATCTTTTTATTGAATCCTACCTTACTACTGGTAGGATTACCAACATTGCAAGGGTAATGTCTTGTCATCCGAAATATATGAAAATATTCCAGGAAACTCATAATCAGTTGTTTTATGGCCCTGGACTATTACCTCATCATTGGAGGCATTACATTGCTATATTGGTAAGGAAGGGCAGGCCTATCAAAGGAATCAAGCCTAATAATTTAGTTTACAATAATATGCTTATCACCATTTCAACTACATAAACTGCTTCAGAATTCAATCTATGCACAATGATACAACTAGAAGTGAATAATTAGGACATTCTCTGATATAGCTTTTAAATACATTTCTTATATGAATATTTTGATAGGCCGCTAGTAGGCATAACTGCTTGTATATGATGCAGTTACACGCGGAAGCGTTTCGATTATACCAGAGAGATATCCACTGGTTGAAAGGATTAAGCAATGCTTCGCAAAAATTGATCAATTTCGAGGATTTACTCAATCGTCTGACTTATCAACCATGGACAATACAAAAAGAGCACATCGATGTATGCAGCAAAATTACTACTTGAAAAATAATAAATAATCTATATAATCAATCACTACTCCCAATATGAGTATAGACAAGATTATTATTTTTAATTTTAACAGGAGCTTGTAGTAGGGGAAAGTGCTTGGTCTATTTCCGAATTGGTACAGGCTGTTGTTATTGTTAGTCATGTAGTGTCAGTGGTAGGATTTTATTACGGATGTGGAATACATGATGAAATTGACTTCAAGGATGGACATACGTATTCTGAAATGGCTGCTAATGGAAAGAATGATGAGGATAATTTAGTTCATGCAATGAATCAAACCAAGAAAAAGCTAGATATAACTGATGAAGAAAAACGTCAAAAATTACTTGCAGTCATGTCGGAATATAAAAGTTTACAAGAACGTCATGAATTACTATCTGAAGATAAAGTGCTAGAAGAAATTGAACTTTTCTTTCGACAAGAAAGTTAGTTTTTTAGGATTGATATTTATTTGGCGTATAATAATAATTAATTAATTATTCGTATCGCTACCGTACACAAATGATAACATAATTATAGATTGATTATTAAAATTGTTATGGATGCATAAAATTACTAGTAGAATTATTCATTATTTTAATCGCGCTTTTTAAATTCTCTATTGTAGAAAATTTTAACGTAACCAGATATTTCTAAATACTTTCATATTAAAAGCATGTATTTGGTAATACTCAAATGTTGTTCATACATTTTTCATAGCTGACCATTTGGCCGACGAATCAGAAATAGAGGATACCAAAATTTCTATAATTGATAACTTTATGGACAACAGATCTATTGAACAATCGACCGATTTTGCCAAATTAAGTTTAGAAGATAGACAACAGATGGCATTACGCACTCAAGTACGTATCAGGCTATATCTCAAATGTAATTAAAAAAAATATTTCATCAACTTAAATTTTTATAATCTTGCATTATCTATTTAACAGGAGTTTTCTTGGGAAGATCAAGGATTTTCTGTAGTTAGTCGATACTATAACGATATTATCGAATTACTGGATGAAAAATTTCGAATAATCTATAATTTAACTTATAACAAGTAAGACGATGCAATTATCAAGTGACTACCAGCTTTGCTATTATAGATAATGATTTTATAAACTCTTTTATTGCAGAATGGGTGATACTACTAATACAGACACAAAAGTATTGAGAACAGCAGTCTGGAATTATATTCAAATGATGAAAGGCGTATGGGATGACTATCTCTATACATCCATTAACAAACTAGTTGCAACAGACTTCAAGCAGTATATTAAAATGGTATGAATTCGCTATTGAATGGGAAATAATTGTTACCATTGCTATCATATTAATCTCTCGAATTGGTATACAGGTTGCATGCAAACCGGAAAAGACTTCCCAATACTTATTTCACTCCGGTGTTTATTTATATAATGGGTCCGAACAGGTAATTTTATCCTTGATATATTGAAAAATATCGCTCAAATATTGTATCCTACTTAAAATATAGCCACTAGACAGTATTTACCTTGCTTAATTGATAGTCATTATGTTCAAATTGTAGGTCCATCTAAATCTGCTATTCCTGGAATCTCGAAATCAAGCACAACTCCTACACGCTTTACGCGCAATTATGCAGCATTCGCTTGCGTGATGCAATGAGTGAGATGAATATAATTTTTGTCATAAAAGAAAAAAATCATAGCTACTTCTTGAATGGCTAGTCGATAATTTTGCAGGAGTCACTGACTACACCACAGTAGTAATATCTTTAAAAAAAAATAAATACGATACTACTGTAATTTGGTATTTTGTCAATGCTTCTCCTCCCAAAAATTTACGTACAAATTTAACTTTTGTATGGCATAGTAATTACATTCTTTCAGCATGTATCTTTAAATACAATCTAATTTAAAATATTTTCACGTAACCTGAAAAATTGTATGATTTCAATTTATGATAGATACCTAGTATCTGTTATACCTTAAATTCTTTCTAATTCCAGAGATTCAAGAAAATTATTTTTAAGCTAATGTCTCCGTGCTATTAATAACAATCATTATGCTATAATTGTATTATTTTGGAAAATAATACAATAGATGCGTTTCACTGCATTGACAATCTTATAATTTAAGATTTGAAATTGCTTTACTGCATTAATAGGAGTGAATTGGATGATATTAAAATCTCATAAATAGTTGACGAAAAACAAGTAACTGACTTGAAGAATAAAATTTGTAACCTAAATATACTTTCTTATAACAAAACTTATATATGTGCGAGCCGTTGCTCCTAAGTGAATAAGTACTTCTTATTATCTGTAGTTAAAAAAGGGGGCACTCTTAGAGCGTATTCGATACCGCTATGCATAGTAGTCTATGAAGGCATTACTATGATTTCAGATTACATAAAAATAATACAATAATAATAATTGGGTGCTTCATCTAAGAAGGATATTGTTATTAATCGATGTTAACTTGGCTTTATTAACTGCCAGAGTATTTATATGCCGTACTTACTTTCTCGAGTGTGCACCGTAAAACTCACATTTAAGAACTACTATAAACTATTATTATTAATTACTATTTATGACCCTTTCATGCAATTTAAATGCAAGATATTATCACAAAGAATAGATAGGCTTTATTACTATCACATGATATTTGATGTATTAAATTAAAATACTTGATATGTTAACGCCTGCCCAAAACATTACAAAAAAATGTTATCAGCATTTGCATTAAAAAATGCCATATTACTATTACTATTACCTTCTACGTTAATTTTCATTATGGTTATACGAAAAGGCACCTCGATACCGTAACGAGTTATGATTCACTACGCTTTAAAATAAAAGTACATTGCAATATATTATGACCGTTAAGTCAATTAACGTATTTGTACGTAAACAGAAATTAGGTAATACAATTCTGTTTATAGTACTAGTCAGAACTATGCAAATGCTGGCGACAATGTAATACTTGCATAGTTTTTATAAGTCTGACAATTGTCAAAGATATACGGCCTATGGTGTCAGGCGTTTTGGATCACGCGGGAACATCGAAGTCTTCCGGATATTATCCAATCCAAGATATAACATCAGCACGCGTTCCATTCCTAATGTTAGGAGATAAATTAATAAATATAGCGCAATAAAATTTTTCAACATAGTACGTAAATGTTGCTAACCTATACCACCACCAGCATGAGGGAAACAACCAAATTTGAAGGAATCAATGTAAGCCTTAATTTTTTCCAAGTCTAAGTGAAATACACGGTACGATGTATATGACTAACTGAAATTGTCATAGTGGGGACTAAATTACCTTTCTAGTCAAGCATAATAAAAATCGTAATGCCTTACCAACACTATGGAGTTTAGCCCTTTCTGTTAAAAATTCGGGATCGTGTATTCGCTGAGCACCCGATAAGATCTCTTCGCCCCTCATGAACATATCATACGAATTTGATTGTTTCTATAGTAACGATCATACCGAGTATCACATGATTGTAATATTAAACTTCATCATAAGAACAATAGTTAGGAAAACTTACAGGATTATTTGGATCCGGCATAGTATAAAATGGCCTAACTGCCAAAGGATACTTGTCAAGCATATAAAAATCTGTTCCATACTAAATACATAAGTCAAGTAAAGTATTATTATCAGAAAAAATTATGATTAGAATCGTAAGCAACGCCACAATTGGTTAGGTTACCTTAGCCTTCACCAGCTTTCCAAGGAATTTCTCATTAGGAGTGCTATTGTTAATGTTAGACATCAGTACATTGATGATTTGTTAAAGAACAACACACAATTTAATCAACGATCTTTATTAGTGATGTTGATTAAAAAACAACGAATATGTGTTCTTATATACTGTATTACGAATAGTATCAGTTAACTGCCTTTAAGTATCACGGTGAGAAGAATTGCAAAGTTTAAGCAAAATCTTCATATACTAATGCTAGATTTACCTCAAATCATCTTCATCACCTATTTCTACGCCATTCTCGCGGAGCATAGAAACAGCTTCAGGAAATTCCAATCGGAGGCTAAGAATGATTATTTGTAATAAATAAAATCTTTTTCAGCCACGGTACAAAATATACTTCTTGATAATTAAATTTGTAGAGTTAAATTTATTACACAAATACTCACGTCGGCTCAATAAATTGAAAAGGCTCAGCAGGAAATTGCTTCATTACTACAGCTATTTCTTCAGCGAAACTAAAACGAAGTCATAATTTATACTTTAATTGTACTGCAGTGGAATGTAATTATAACTATTTTCAAGTAATTCTTTCAACTTACTTGTCTCTTAAACCTTTAAATATAGAGATAAATAATTCACCGATGGTTTCTAATACCTAAACATCAGGTATTATTCGGTGTAACGATGATATTAAAATGAAAGTTAACGTCTGGAGTTCCCAACATATAACAATGCTAGATACACCATACCTCATGATAATGTTCGTAGAAAGCCATTTCCAAGTCCAAACCAACAAATTCGCATAAATGTCTGTGAGTATTAGAATCTTCCGCTCTGAAGACTCCTCCTACAGTAAAGACTCTGTCAAAGTCTCCTGCAATTGCCATTTGTTTGTATAGCTGGGGTGATTGTGCTAAATAAGCCTTTCCTACGCAACAAATTTTCCTATGTTACACCGAAATGTTTAAATAGGAAATGCCTTTTAGTTACTCCTTACCTTTAAAGTAAGATACTTCAAAAACATTTGCACCGCCTTCACTGGCAGCTAGTGGGAAAAATATACACATTAAAGAATTGCATTTAATAATAATTTAAAGATATTGAGAAATATCTATTGTAGTTATTAATAATTAATCAATTCACAAACCGGAAATGATTTTTGGAGTATGAATTTCAACAAATCCCTTAGAAGTTAAATGATCGCGAAATAGTTTGCATAAAGCTGCTTCAAGCTTGAAGAGAGCTTGATTAGTTGGTGTCTAAAACCGTAAGCAGGAATAGTACAAAGTTATCTATTTAGCTAATTGTCTACATAATTTAAATTAATAAAATTTCTTATAACTGTACCCGTAAATCGATTATACGGTTATCAAGACGAGTATCTTGATTGACATGAGCCAAAGAACTATCCTAAAATCAATTATATTAAAGATTTTGTTGCTATTAAGAAAAACAGTACTATCAATGTTATTTGTCACTTATGTAGGAGCAGTAGTTAGTATCAAATGTTCTAAATAGAGAAAAATTTAAATTTTAAGGTTTTGTTAGAATACCTCAGAAGATTGGTCAACACTTCTAGAAGCATCATCAATTTGTAATGGCAATCTAGGAGCGGCAAGACTTGCAACAAACAACTAAAATAGCCAAATATATAAGGACAAATCAGTTGCAGGATGTAACTAATACAGGTAAATAATTATAACTTGTATAAATAAAGAATACGTATGTACGAGTATTCTCTCAAACCGTTACCTTATTGATATGTAATTCAACATCTTGTTGACTGCATGCTTCAATCTTAGTTGTAACTGCCTTGACGATACCTTCGACATCGACAACAGACTCTTTGTTTACACTGGTTAATAAGCAAAGTAATACATGCAATCAGTTAAGCAATAAAAATGTGGTGCAATAACATGACAAAGTAAAATGATACAATTTTGAACATGCTCATAGGATAGATTAATAAAAGCAAATAATTACTTCGATGCGAATTTAACCATGGCTTTGCTGACAGTTTCACTAACTGCTGCAATACCTTGAATACTGTAACTTTGTTGCCTTAAAACTAAGAAACATTGTTTTCCTATAATAGTGTAATATAAGTTATGATGGTTAATAATTATTAGAATAATAACGTGTATTATAAATAAATTTTTCGTAATTGTCCATAAATATAGACCTTTGCCACGGCTGTTATGTAATCTAGCTCGAAGAAGCACAGATTGTCCCGCCACTTTTTCATTCAAATCGCGAATCTTGGACCATTTGCGACCTGTACAAAAATGTCGAATTTTGTCCAGATACTTAAAAAGTTTGGAACTAAGTTTGATAACATTACTTTCATCTTACATTATTCTGCGTCTCTTGTGAATATTATATCATATCAAGGTACACAGTGCGATACATGGAACATACTTGGCAACATGATTGGTGTAAAATGTGATATGAGAACGTAGCTATAACTATATGAACTTAGTTCTATTTGTAGTCGTAAAAAAATATATACAGTGTTGCAAGATCTGTACAATAGTGCTAAGAGGTAGTACCTGTTTTCTCTGTCGACTGTATTAACTTCATGATCCCATAATTGTCTTTAGAAACATCCTAAGAGAAATAGGCGAGTAACAATGGGACACACAATTAAGATAAGCTATCAGATATCGATAAATCCTGTAGCAATTTGTCGTAATTATAATTATCTAACACACGACTGATTAAGGCAATTTAACTGCTTAATAACTTAAAGAAATGACGCTAGGCTGGCATAAAAGCATAAGGGTTTAAATAGGGTTGTAGTAATACCAATTTCAACGTTTCACTTGCACTAGGTACAGTATTGTCGTTATCATGTTTAGTGATTTATCTCTGTTGCGGCTAATATCGGCAGTAAAATACGGACTACCGGTACTATTGGTACTACTTGGATAAATTCGGTGTAATACAGCGAATACCAATAATAACTGTCTAATATTCATATAAATTGATAATCCTGCTAAAGTAAATAGCTGTATCATCTCTATATTACTATCAATAAATATGAACACAATATGTGAAATAAGGACTGCAAAAATAGAATTAATGAGCGGAAATCTTTCCTTTGTATCAGATAGTATTAAAATCTATCATTTATAACTGTTACTAATCACTACTCCGTTGAAGTTTGTTACAAAACATGAAGTGCTACAGTACATACCTCTGCATCTGCTTCGGCTGCTTCAGCACCCTGTAGAGATAAAATATCAGTAATGAGCGCAAAATCATTATGCACCAACATTTTTTCTGCGTTTTAAAGTATACAGTAGCAAAACTTCACGTGCTATCAGCTTGCAACAGAATTAGTTATAGCAACTAACAAATACTGTTACTTTAGAAATAGATGAATTAAGTAATATTTTCATTGTCTCACTCGTTATTACAATACCGGTAATGTACGCATATATATTTTTGATACTCTTCATTATGTTACTGATATAGATCTAGGCTAGAATTTTTACACTTGGACACTTGCATGTTAGATAGGATAATGATTTACCTTCCTAGCTGCTTCTGCTTCAGCTTTTCTTCGTTGTTTTTCCTTTTCCTTTTCTAGCTTTTTGAGAGCGTTCTTGGATAAAGGTTGATCACCAGATCTATTGTATCGAAAGTATTAGGAAAAATATATACGGGTCAATTTTATTATTCTTTTGTACGTTTTTTTCCTATCTACAGCCTTCCCACATTTAAAATACCAACCGATTTAACATACTGTACTCATATATACTATATCAACGTCCGAAATGTTATCGCTACTAGTAACAATAGTCTCTATGCGTTAGATTAGCTATAATCATGATCAGTAGATGATTGAAATAATTGCAGAACTCGTATGCTTGAGCGCAGTTTACGCGTACATGTATGAAAACGAATATCGCACAATCTCTCTGCAGCCAATTAATTATAGTGCATCCAAAAGCTTTATATTAACGTAAGTATTAGGATGGCAAAGGAAATGAAATCTTTGTAGCGTCCTTTTAGCATTAATGGTTTCAGATACGTACAATAATACGTGTTCTACAGTTGTTATCTGGAAGATATTACCATTCTACTTCTAGTACTTATACTTTCACAGTCTCATGCTGCATTATGCATACTGTGGTCGTCGTCTGATTAGGAATTTTCATTAAAGGAAATATCAATCCAATTGAAACATAGATTGCATACAATATTCGTACAAATAGTATATAAAACTGGCTAGAATGTATATTTTACTGTCGTAAAGCATAACAATAATTAATTAATTACTGTAATGAGGCATTTATACTATACAGTAATACTAAACTTGCTTATAAATTAAAACTGAGAAATAACTAATTATCCATAGGAAAGAAAGAGTATCAGATGATCAGATTTGTAGTACAGTCCTCGAAAGTACTGCATTATCTGCGCTCCTTTTTTTTTCTGTCGATAAGTAGTCCAATTTTTCAATCTACATATCACTACGCTATAGCATTAATTCAATGTCTAAAATAGCAAATAATTCCTCTAGGATTATCTATATCATCTTTGACGATGCAACGGGCATCGATAATGGGATATGAATGGATTGCTACTGAATTAGTATTGAACTAACTGATTGCACAGTAGCCAGGATTGTCTAATCAGAGATAACCAATTATACGAGTCATTATTATTACTGTTTACTGTTCTGTTTAATCGATGATTACAGTATACTAGTCATAATTTTTGATTCTACTATTATTAAGGGAATGGATGGTTGGAGAAATGATCCAACTACGCTACAATCTCATTTCTAGCGTTTATGATAAATTACTTAATATCGCAATCATCGGTATACGTCGATAATGGAGAATTAATGAAGAATCATAGCATCATCTTGACACCAATCATTAGGGAATACTATGCTTGTTATCTCTTTATTTTACATCATCATTCTACGACTGATATAGTGGTGCTGTAAGATTTACAGAAAACTTCTCTTATAGACTGTACAAATACTGAAACTATACCAAAAAAGATCAGCAAGGATTTGCCGATAGCTTAAGAATAGCTGCATAAAGCCATCACATTTAATAAGCTGCATTCATTAATACTAGAAGTCTATCATATCAATGCTAGAAACTGAATATTTGGTAGACTTTCAACAAACGCTAAGCTAGGATGAAAGTAGGATCTGTTTCTTGATCAAGATATAATTTCACTATACATACCCAGATGCTGAGTTATTTGCTTTTTGTGTATCTGCCATAGCTCTTATGATGATCGATAGAAAAATCTTCCGTCTTGCGAGTAGAGTTCACCAATTTTCCAATTTTTTTCCTGATTTATAGGCAGCGAGGGATTAACTTCCTCTTCTCACGGTACGGAATAGCATCCAAAGTGAAAAATACAAAAAGTGATCAGGACGTACAGTACTCAAAGCAGCCTCTTCTTAATAGAGGATGATATCACTAATTATTGCCAAAGTGCGTCTAATATGGAGTAGACTGCAGCCTTGGTACGCTGGATCGCGTGCTACCATAGACTCCTAGGTGGGCACTGTCGACAGGCAGTATCGTTGTTATGGAAATGAGCGAGTCGTCAGTCTAAAAAAAAGGAGAGATCGCTGAATAACAGTATTGAGTACGGAACTGAATCAGAGTGAGTACTGTACTCTGTAAAGGAGATCGCTAGGTTGCTGAAAAGCGAAATGCCATTGCAAATAGTTTAGTATTCTTACTATACTTGTACTCAATCGGTCAAAGTATTATCCTATCGGTTATACTCTGCTGCAATATTGTAGTTTCTTCGGTGTTTTTTGTAATTAATTGAACTTAAAAACCTCATAACATCACCCGAAGTTGACCAGAAAATTGTAACCGTAGGAATAGAGTTTGTTACAGCTATACTGTACGCAAAATTTATAAACTACGTTAAGTTGTGCAGATAATTAAAGATGAAAGATATCAATATTTTAAAATGCAGTACAGTAATATCTCTTATAACTTTATAACTTACCAACTACGGTAATTCTAAAAATTACTAAACTTACACTACAGCATCAGTTACTAAATACGCGTAGTGCAACTTCAGTAGATATGTGATTCACAACGCATAAAGAGATCACCAACGATTCAAGCTCCATCAAGAAACTAAAGGATAGCACAGGCAAACGCATCTAGAAGCGACAATGCGCGACTAATTCGATGGCAGTGAACAATCATCATCAATTTTCAAACAGCAATAACACTCAAATCAAACAAGAATATCTACCTTTTAATAATAATTGTAAAAAATTGCTCAATTATAAATACCACATACGTAGATATTACACGTATTTGTTATTAAAAAATATCGAAATAGAGATTAATGTAACCATGGTAGACAATATTATGACCCTTCTAACGCTACAATCTGGCATGTGTCTCTTTATCGATTCAGTCTCAAACTATAAGACAATTACGAAACCTAGGATGAAGTACTTATACAAATACTTTTTACCCGATAGTCAAATATACGTATAATAATATTCATTAACTGTACATTCGAGTCTTACATAAATCTATCGTTAATGGAGATTTCAGATGTATAAATATTTATATATTATTACAGTATAATACAAGCTACTGCGGTTGGTTATAGCCTGACGTAGTTGATAAACTGTGCCAAGTTAGCATAATATGTGATAAGATATCCATAAATCAGAAACCGATCTTGATATCTGCAGGATTCCCGGCAGCACTATTCCTTCACATACATTAATTAACTTTAGTATAAAATTAGTTATCCCGTAAGAATTTTCATGACTTATGTATATATATATATATGCATATACGATAATTCGTGCTTTAGAAGAGGCTACGGCATAAGGGACATGTTGATTGATTGCTGGTATTGAACCATTTATACTATCAAAATATTGAAAAGCAAATGTCAGAACTGAAATTGATAATACTAACAGTTTAATGTTACCATATAGCCAAATTACTTCATTAATTAAATAAAGCAACATAACTGTCAAGTAAACTGCAAAAGTTATTTTTACATCCATGTAAAAATAGCAACTTACCAAACATGTTGAATGAAATTTTTTCTTACAAGTTTTGCAAGTAAGTTTGGGTAATGCCAAGTTTGAACTGTGTATTACAGAGAAGCAAATCATGCATTCTTCAAGACCTTCAAATTTCTTGTCAATATTACGTTTCCATAAAGCCAAGCTATCAATTATAGTTCCATTCTGTAAGATCGTTTAACAAGACATTACGATAAAAATATAACGTGAATTACATTAGTAACATAAGTGGTTGATTTTTAATCGTGTAGAATCTAGTCTTGATCATATTATTACATATCCTTTTAATATAATAACGTATTTAATAATACTGCAATGGCTTCTAATGCTACGATATCACCCTACTTGATTTGACAAAAAGGTGGTCATTTGCAATATCCAATTCCGCCATTGTCCAATAGGCACACCAATTCTCTGTCCAGTCTCAACAATAACAGTACGGAGAGGATGATTTGCGGCAAGTCTAACTATTAGCTCCATCGATACTTCACCCATTGTATATGTAGCTATGACTTCATTTAGCGAAGTTCTTGTTCTTATCTATATTCATTAAACCAGCAGTTTCCGGACGTGAATATATAAATTTTCTACGATTAAATTTCATTGTCTAGTCAAGTATAACTAAATTAGTTCTAAATTACTATCCAGAACCTAAAATGTGTTTATCACTTCCAACAGCATCATAAGTCTTTGATAAACGTATACTCATTTTATAATACCTCCATGTTATCAAGAACTAAGGATGAATTCTGCACGAATTCCATTTCTTTACGGACCAAAGAAGGACTAACATAGTTTATGGTATACCTAGAACAAATAATTTTGCATAGTACGTGTATTAAATGTCGATTAAACATATTCAAAATAAAAATATCCGACAGGCATCACCGATATTACACAACTAAGAATTCACTTAAACAATAAATTAAAAGCATTTCGTAGTGCAGATGGTGAAAGCAATAAATTTATCAAATGCTATATCCTAAAAATTAATGATACAGTATATGTATGATTATGTAAGCACCATTTCGACAATTGTTTGCATAACAATGCTGACAGTTTCTAAAAATATTCAACTGAATAATACCTTTCTGCATCGATTGCTCGCTTCTTCTCTAGACTATTCCACCACTGGCGAACTACTACCGGCATGTATTGCATGATGTTATAGCAAACCATACACGATACCATTTGAATTAGTTCCCATAATGACTTACAATCTAAACGTATAACATACAACACTTCAGTATCAGTAACAGCAAGTAATTATATACTGTACTGTATTCTATGACTACAAACCTGTAGCATCAACATGCAATGATTCATAGAATAACTCTTGAACGGTATATTCAGAATTTCCAAGTTGGAGATAAATACACTTTTCCTTCGTACTCGCATGTGGTTTTATACTCCGTTTTGCTGACGGCATGATGTAAAATAGAGTATCCAATAACATCGTCACGGAGGTACATTGTTTTAAGTAAGCGATATACAGTAAACGTAGCTATAAAAATCAAAGAAATTTACAAACAATGTTTCAGTTGGAATAATAAAAGAAAATATGGTATAAAATATTTGATTAATTGCCAGCTGTGTTATACCTTAAGACTAGATTTGGAAATCATCTCGATAATTAACCGCCATGAAAGGAGATAACTTAAAATCGATCTTTGATCGCTGTCACTGAATTCTTCTTCGTTTAATTCTCCCTTACCTACTGACTTCGTAGGTATACTTTGAATAACTTTTAATACAGAATTGATAATCTCAAGTAGAGCAGCTGGTAGAGACCTGAAAATCAAGGACAACGTAAGAGTTAAACTTCATTTGCTAAACTCTGAAATTTTAGACAGTACCTTGTCATATCATCAATGTCCTCAGATAAAGACTCTTCATCCATCGTAACTGTACGAGGTACTGTCCTAATAGCGTTATATCGTATAAATGAACGATATCAGTACGATTGTGCACAACAAATTTAAAACGAATTGCTTAGACACAATTAAATTTATGGCGATCCTGTAACCTCATTAAGAGATGGAAGATAGTCACAGAAATTGAGACAGGGCGCGATTTCATTAATGGACATAAATAATCCCACAACGAATTAGAACTTGATTCACCAAATGACAAAACTTCAGAGAGAATCAAGATAAAGTTATCAGAGTTCAAAAAGGTAACTGGCATTTTCAAAGCAACGGCTGATACATTCTTTAATAGATACGATAATGGAATCATATTGCTGAAGCCTATTCCAGAGGAATCTAATGCAGCTTGAAAAAATATTTATTTATTAAAAAGTTGAATTAGCAATTAAAACTGGCAATAGAAGATAACGTACTAGCTAACTGCAGGAAGTAGCTCATCGTTACTGAAAATGCAGACTCCCTGTAAACATCTGACCACTCCATTTTCAAATTTGACGGTATATAGGGTTGATTTCGTCGTCTTGCCGAAAGTGTCGACGTATGCATTAGGCAACCATCCATCAACAGAAGGAGCTTAAAAGCTTCATTAAAGAACTTCATCTTTATGATTGAGAAACTGGCGCCGCGATTATATTCATTTGCATTCTGACATGACTGAAATATTATGATAAGAATGCTTTTTCAATTGTTCATATATATGAGAATAAAAAAACTTAGTAATATTTTACATTACTTGGATTCTAAACGACATGCGTAAATCGTATTTTTTAGACTGCTAAATAACGGTAGTACAGTACCGCAGTGGTCACAATCAATTATACTTAAGATGTAAGGAAAAGAATACGAAATAAAAGTATTGTAGTGACTAATCATTATAAACATTATCCTAAATACTTAATAGACTTACCTGAAGCCAACCCACAGTACAGCATAATGCAAAGTCCCACATTAAGTCGTCGAACAAAATTATTCCAGATGAAATTGCGTTATTTATAAAGCATATCATTGCTTCATTTAAGGAGACTATTCCAGTGGAAAGCTCATCGATATTGCTAGATACAATAAATTGCAATAAATTTATCATATATGTATGTAGCCTCTTAAACGGTTATTTTATACTAAAATAAAGCATACCATTGAAATGCGAAGATGTCTAAATGATTATCTTTAAGAGCTCCCAGCATGCGTATTACATTTGCGATATAATCGACCATAGATGTTGGATTTTGATTTTGCTTTTGCATAGTTTTAAATACGCATGATATGACGTTTAAGTATGAGCCTATTTCTATATGTAATCACACAGAAGCGGCGATAGTAAAGATCATTTTAGAGCTACCGTTAAAACATAGATAAAACATACAGTGCATGCTAATAATAATTAATAGAACGAGTACTTACGTAGCAACCAGTCTACGGATACCTCCATTTCCATGTTTAACATAGCTTTAACTTGATTAAAGCACATTTCTAATATCTTTGAATTCTGTGCCAAATCTAAATAAGATACAATAACTTGCAAAGTATGCATGTTACCCATGTTCATAAAGCCCCTGCACAAGCAAAAATACAAGTATCACACAGCAGAAAATCACGTACAGGATTAGCAAATATTTTCTCAAAAATTTTCAGCTACTGATTTCGCACCTTGAAATATAATCAGAAGATACAATTTGATCGATATGAGTAACAGGTATCCCTTTACGGAGCGAACCGCACAAATCTACATATACAAAAGGCCATATTCCTCCATTATCCATTGATCTATTTGGTAGAGATTATAATTATTATGGCAAAACTTGAAGACGGTTACAATAATAAGGGGCAGCATTAAAATCATGATATTGCCTAAAATTACCTCTTGTAACATTCCGAAATGAGATAGTCAGTATCGATTTCAGAAATTTCTGCAGTTAATACACTAAGATTGCTTTTAATAAGCTCTAACACCTTTTTAAGAAATGTTTCAGTTGAGATAATGGGGCTTTTTCTCACCTAAAGAGAAAATCATACCACATTAATAATCCTTTAAAATGACGTATGTTGTTCATGTATTTTCGTAAAGTATACCAAAAATGTTTTACATTTACGTCTACATAGAAGCATCATTAAATGTATTACCATATACGAATGTTCTGACTCCATTGATGTTATCGTAAGTTTGCATAATTCCTGACAGTAGATAATATCTAGCAGGCAATCATTGCGCGATAAATAGTTATCATATATTGAAGTTAAAACTTTAGTGCTAGTTTCCATGGATTCAATAAAACTGCAATGTGCCAGAGAATGGTTTTCGGGCGTAGCCTGTTCGTCTAGTAACTCATAATCTTCGTCTGACGAATCTGTAATGTCTTCGATATATTCTGTCATGTCACTCTCTGAATCAGACAAGTTTGATTCATTATGGCATTTAACAACTCTCATACCGAGAGAAGAAACAAACAGCATCTCCTTAATGTAGGATGGAAAAGCCTTTTGAGGCTCATCAGCGAATATATAATAATCCTGTAACCACGATTCATCGAAGGAAATAATACCTTCGAAGTATGGGTAAATCAACCACTAAAACAATGGATGAATACAATTTATGATTTCAAAATATTAAATTTGATATGGAGCAGAAAAGACATTTTTATTTGATATATAAAAATTCGTAACATTGCGGTATAGATATAGGGAATATCTCATTAATTCAAATTTTTTGTACCTCTTTGTATGACCATCTGCATGCCTTTTCTCTTAATTTATCAAATTCTTCACGATTTCCAAGCAGAATCTTCATTATATTATCTTGCGGGTTTCTCAATACATTATCTGAGCCTGCATTAGTTTTTGTTTCAATTTCCAAGCACAATAACAGGATTGAACTGTTTACTAAATTCTGAATCCTAATTAAGAAAACACCATAATACAAATTCTATAACTCAAATAGTGATTAAACGGTCAAACAATCGAATAATTCAGTAATTACCTGACAAATTGTTGACATCCTTCGCTGTGAAGGCATTCCTTTAACCACATAGCGGCTTTTTCGATGAAAGATAGGTTAAAGCGCGTACTATATTGAAGTATTTCTTGTATCTCTATTTGCACTTCAGCTAAAGGTTATGAAATGGAATTTAATCTGATTATTATATGTCCGTATCATTAAAATTTTATAGATTGAACTACATAAATTTTGTTATACTTTCTAAGATAATCTAAACCCAATTTATCTACATACAGCAAGCTACGTGTTTAGTATACTATACATAACTTAGACAAGAATAAGTTAGAAAGGATTTACCGTCTCAATGATTCGATACCTTCAAATTTTATATCAATTGTTTACGTACTTGCAATTGGTTCCGTACAGCAGGTCAGTTTGAAGCATTCATATAGTAAATCCTCCACAATCGCTGATAAAATTTTTCTATCCTAAATACATACACATGTAATAATCACTTCATATTCTCCATGTGGTTAAGCTAACACATACATGTATTCCGCAAAACTTCAAACTACAAATAAATGTCTTGCAACATTAACGAGCTGTCACACGGTTGAGATACTATTTTTAGCTGATGATGAACACAAACAGACCAAGTAATAAGTACTTTAACAGATGAAACAATACCTCAATTAATTTCAAATAATGTCTCAGTGTGCAAATCGTTGCAGCGATTTCTTTTGAACGACCATAATTGGTGGTATCTCTTATAAAGTCGTGAAATTGTGAAAGAACGATTTCGATCGTATTTGATTGCAATATAAAATCTGAAATAAAAGAAGTAATTATCTCAACATAACTTGAAGAATTATTAAAATACACAAAATAGGCATCACAGAAACAATGCGACATTTTGAATAATTTACAAACCTTGATCTAACTTGTTGAAACATTTTGTTAAGATTTTCCACTCATCACTACTGTCGTGATTTGGCCCATTAGAATTTGCACTACCGTACAAATTATCCACTAGACGCAATATAGACTTATTGAAAATGGTACTTTTCAGCCATACTCTGTTGTTATTCTGAAGCACCTACAATAAAATTTGTCATAAGCAAGCAACAGGTCAAGCAAAAATATCATATTAAACATTGAAGAGATAAATAAACGTCTTTTACCTTACTAAGATACAGCTGTATCATGGAGACATTGTCCATATCCTATTGATACATAAAACCAATAAATTATACATGCCGTAATTCTATATTAGAAGCAGTTTCTTCTTTTCGATGAATTGTATTTACACTACCTTCCATAAATCTTCCAGCACTTCTAGTTGTAAATCTTGAGGCAGAAGGTTTAAGAGTGAATCTGCTAACTGTGAAGCTGAACTTATAGCAATTTTAGCCTTATTCCTATCAATTGAAATGATGTCATGAGCCCAAGGTATAATATTTCCACGCATAAATGACGAAACATTCTGTGCCAATGTCTTCGTATCTTTTTCAATAGGATCGACATCGATTAATTTTTTGAGTATTTCGGTAGAAGCAAACTTATACGTTAATTTAGATAGAAATACCAAATGAGGGCACTTTCTGTTCGAAATAGTTTGACTGGTAATTTTGTGACATAGGGAAGAGGTTAATTTATAACATTCTTGGCTCAGTAATTGTTGATATTTTGAAGATACTTGATTAGCTGATGGCTTATTATTCATTTCCCGATCGGAATAGTTGCGACTGCCATCAGTAAATGAAACTGTTTTTCTTAACATTTTAGTCGCTGAACCACCTTGTAGTCCACAAGTTAAAATCAGGTCTGCCAACCGTTGTAATGAGTGAAGATAGTCCTATTCAACGGATATTTACATAGTTAATAAATTATCTACCGATTATTTTCTATCGGTAAATATTACTTTTTAAGTAATATTTACATCGATTACAACTAATACCTCATTAATGCCTTGAAAAGATTCGTCGATTATGTCTCCACATATACACTCAAATTTATTCCAAAATTTAAACCACAAGGAGTTTTCCTTATCACAAACAGCAGTTTCATCTTCTCTCTGATCAGAATGTATTTTTGCTAGTTTAAGAAGGAATTTATTCGTATTTGTGTACAAGCACGAATTAGCCAATAGTGGAGAATGAGCAATCAAAGAGACCTTCAGTAGTGGTAACATCTATGTGAATGATATAACCTCAGTTATTAACTAATCATGAATTGTATTAAAACATTTTAACCATTAGAAATATCGATCATTTACCTGGTCAGTTAAAACGTATGATGCAACATCATCGAAAGTGCCTGTTGATGAATGCGAGGCTATAGTGTGGTAAATACACTCAACAAAAGCCGACACAATTGCTGAACACTCCGCTATACCTTGGCTAATGTGTAAATTATTCAACCTAATATCATTGAGTAATAAATCATCAGTCACTTAATCTTAAAACAATTTAAAAGTTGAAACTTATGTCCCTGGTGATAATAATACTTTTATAAAAGGGAAGATTAGGTATGTCAATCGTTATGCACGTTCTATAATAAATGCTAACCCTTCCCGAATATTAGAAAAAAATAAGCGATAAAATTCAGTGCCACCACCAGTGACCTAAAAAGATAATTTGAAAGTAAATTTGATTTTTTACTAGCAATTAAAAAATAAAAAAGGCATATTTTTTAGAAATAGCATCATGCATTTAAGGACAGAAGTACATTGCAGTAGTTCACTTAAAGAGTAGGTTACGTGAATTTATCTTGCAGAAGTACTCAAGTATAGACTCTTCAATCAGTGCAAATTTCGCTAGGCCAATGAATTAACGATATAGCATTGAGTTTGTAATAAGCGGAAAAATCTGTCTGATACCTCAATAGGAATTTTACTTAGGAATGGCAGCAATGCTGGAAATATCACAGAAGCTGAACCATTTCCATTCGAACGCAACAACTGCCATAATTTCGGCAAGACACTTTTCCTAGCACTCACATGATCCCAGCAGTCCTTAGTATTTAGGCATACGATTAATATTTACAATTGAAGGCTTTATTAACTTTTTAAGATTGCAACACATAACTGCTATATATTACCTGTACTTGAGTGACAACAAGTAAGATTGCATCCCATAAGGACCGGCAAACTAATGGTTCTGTATCGTCAATAGAACCAAGTATTAGAGGACATGCTTTCGAGTTGCTGTTGCTTGAAGTAGATGGTAAATGCTGATAATAAATTGCCATCAATGTGAAAAATGCTGATCGAATCTGGAAATAGAAAAATAATTAATTTTGAAAACCTGCTTGATCAAGATGAAAAATAGAAACTAATAAAAACTATCATAGCATAAGAATTATTTCAAAATAAATAATAAATTTGCTGTACCATAGGTGAATCACTTTTTCCGAGTTTCCAAAATTTTGCTGTATCTAAAATTTCCGAAAAAGGGGCTGTATCGAAATCTTCGATATCATTAGGAGCCAAAGTATTAATTACTTGTCCTAATGCTAGTAACGATGATGCAACTACCCGTTGATACTTCGATTCCATATCATCCGTAGAAATATTGCTAAATATATGTATAAAATAAACGGCGGAAATATTTATTCTGTCAATAATATCAGGGATATTGGTCAAAAACGCCAACTGTACCACTCGTGTAAATAACACATTTAAATCATAGAAACTCACCCTGTATTGCTTAATGTCGCAGGAGTATGGACAAAGAGATTCTCCTTGATGTGCTACAAAGGTGAATCAAATAAAGCGAAAGAACAAACATAAGTTAAATAGCATTAAAGCCGTTACAGCAGTTACATTACTAATCAATAAGTACGTCTTTTACTATATAATACTTTAATACATTCATCAAATAGTATCATAATTAAATCTAAGTACGAAAAACTATAGATTGTTACCGTGATGGTCTCCTCTAAACAAAATTTCATAACTTCAGCTCTCTTTAATGGAGGAAAAGCAGTATCAAAAGCAACTTTTGCAGCTGTTGCAGCAGGAGCATAGCTATCATGATGACTACATAACCAACAACCAATGATTGACTTAAGATGCGGAGCAAGTCGACGGCGCACACACTTAACAATACTTAGTAAGGCCTGCTGTGTTGCTTCTCGTACCTTTCTATCAACATCCTATATTATTATTTGAGATAACATAAATCACATTATAAATTAAAGAAACATATTATGATCGTTATAAGTTTATTATAAAATGCAACAAGCCTATGACCGAGATTTGTAATGCTTTTCATAAGACTTTACAGAAAACAATAAAGATTTCAAGATATTCACTGCTTATATATACAGTAATATACGATGTGTACAGTACAGCTTCTTGGATATACAGTACATTATCCTGCATTTTATCAGGGGAGATTACAATTACAAATATATCTTACGTAAGCTAAACGGTTGTAACTTCTTGTCCAAGAATGCAGCAATCCGATGATTTCCTCAATCGGTTTATCCAAGCATAGCTCCGCTAATTCTTGTAATGCCTGAAATACAGCGAGTGACATATAGATATCAGTAATTTCTATTATCATGATGATAAATCAAATGTAGCCAACTACCAAAATCGATGCTACGAATAAAGACTATATCGAAAAAAATCATTTCAGCGCGCAGTAACCGTACAGTTAGAACCGCTAGGTGAATTTAGCAATTCATTATCCTCAATCAGATAATTGATGTCATACAGTAAGATTTTCAAAGTTTATGTATTGAAATAAAATTAATTACTAAGTATCGTAGCTTGTGTAGGTTTTATGGATTTGCAAAGCAGATATCACCAATTGTAAACTGGCTATATCATCTACCACGGCTAATTTGCAATAATTACTATTCTAAATAAACGACTACCAAGTCAGAAATTGTTAGCACAAAATGGCTAATTTGTAATTAATGTAGACTAATAATAATTCCAGTATTTTTAATTAAATTCCATAACAAAGGTTAAGTTTTTCATCCATAGGTCTCTGGAACTACGTACGTAATCTTTCTAATAATAAATCTAGCGAGTCTGCTTTGGATGTTAGTATTAGTGAAGAATGTCTTCGCAATACTATTTAATAAACTGTCTAACTATAATCAAAATTAAGTTATACCTTCAGTCTCGTCAGAGAATCCTTCTTAGATAATTTCTTGATTATAATACGGAAATCGGGACTAATATTACTATCATCTTCATTAGGAGGCCCAGAGCCAGATACAGTTGCAAAGCCAATAAAACCAGTCGTATCGGCTCCTTTTCTAGCCAAATGATCCGCCGCTCTACCACTGTTGGAAGCCTACAACATTTAAATTGCAAAAATATTTTTCGATTACGCACTACGTCTATAATAAAATGGTAATTATGATATTTGCCATATACGTAAGTATATCATGTATAGTAGTTCTACAGTATCATTTACGTGTATAACTAACTGTCTATCTAAACGTCTACTGTATAAGAAAAGTAGCATAAATGATCACAGCAACTTATTATCATAATTTTCATTACACAGAACAGTATAATATCATGTACAGTAGTTGTACAGTATCATTTATGTGCGTAGCTGACTATCTATCTCAACGTCTGCTATGTACGAAAAGTAGGTGTAATAAATGCGTCTCACCATAACTATCCTAGTCAGATGGTATTTTCTAAAAGACTTTTATTACAAGGTTTTAGGAATAGTAGAGCAATAATTAATTACTACAAGAATCTAGTCTAAAATCTAAAGTATTACGAGCTCAAAGCGAAGTGAAGTCTCTTCTTCCCTGTGAGCTCATCTCTGCAGTTCTTATAAACATTTCCTTAAATCCATTTATGACAACTTGATTAATCTACAATCAGATATGAGTCATCAAATAAAATAGTTTTCTCTAACAGTACATCATTATTTTCTACAATCTGAATCATTCTACTTAAGATGGCACTATTCTTCTATTAACATCTAGGCCCTTTCTTCGAAGGGCATCTTAACTACAGCGTTTCTAGCTACATCAATCTTGTACCATAATTAGTCAACTGGCTACTATTAGTCATCAATGATTTCTAATATAATAGTTAGCAATCATCTAATAATAGCTTCACGGTAATATCTATTCAAAGCAACCTAACTATATCAAATATAGCTATCCGTATAATCAAATATGGGTGCATCACTACAGTAGGATAAATGATCACAGCAACTTATTATCATAATTTTCATTCTACTGTACAGTATAATAAAGTGATAATTACGATATTTGCTGTAATATGTAGTTCTATAATAAGGGATTATCCATCTAAATGCCTGTTCTATCGCATATCAGAAAAATAATAACTGTAGTTATAGTCTGTAACAACTGTGTCACTTCGAGTATTGTTACCCATGAACGAAAATTGTAGTACCAATATTTTTATGTGATTATTTTGAATCAAGCAAATTCACTTGTCATGCTATTTATAATAACAATAGTGTATGAACTACTAGCAATGTATGATATAAAGCATTCATTGCAGGACGTTATCATGTAAAAGCCGCTATCACGAATGGGAAGCATGGTGATCACGCTATAAAATACAACATAATAATCAATTTACTTGGGGGGAACGAAAAATTTAGATCGCTTGTGATCTGTGCTGTGAGCGAGTCATGACGATCACTCCATTTACAATAGTAAATACTGTAAGGACTCAGCAATTCAATACTTATTATTAGCATTGATTTGACGATCTAGTAACATAGATGGCTTAACCCGTAGGAATAATAATATTAGTGATGCTATATGTGCTTCATTACTAGCATTAGGGATTGTACAGTACTACAGTAAGAGGATAACTTGTTGTGCTCGAGATCTCCAGTATGACACACAATTTGTACGATTGTGACCAAATTCTTCTTCAGTACGCTTGGTGCTTACCCGTAAATTTCCTTTCACTCTTTGCTTGTTTTTATTGCCCATAATTCTACCAATTTATTCGTTGCTATAACAGCTTTAGATTACAGCCACAATAACAGCATAAATATAATGTCCTCAATAATATATAATGATGATAATAAGGAAACTATATGATAGCAGTTGGATCTTAAATGGTCTTCTGCTGCACGGTTGCATGGACGACTAGAAATTTTCATGCGCAGTGATGCCACTAGTGACGTCAGCGGTTGGGTGGATTAGGCCATCGAGGTGAGCCTCCACTGGTGTGTATCAAAGTACGGTCAGTGTAGAAACGACACGTGCGCTCGTCCGGTCGTGTTGCTATACTGTACTATACTGTACTGTATACTGACCTTAGTGTCATTGCAAATTTTTTTTTTCAGTATACAGTACAGTAGTCTCGCTAAAGTTGAAGAATTTGATAGAACTTCGTTGTTTCTGACTCTAAAAGTAACAATCATGGATTGACAAATAATTCATTAACGATACTTATGTACGTGCAAATATCCCTGAAATTGTGTCACGTAGAGAATGACTTTGTACATTTACAATAAAATCTATCTACAGGTGTAAGCACAGTATGGTCTGTTGTCTGCTTACCTATGACCTGATTGGGGGTTGGCTCAGTTGACCCAATACCTGGCAATGAGTACAACTAGCAAAAGTCATGTCATTACCACATGCTAATACGCATATGAAATATTGTCTACAGGGTGACATTTGGGGGGGGAGAGCGTTGCGACTAACCGTGTGCTGGTGCTGTACTGTACAGTACATTTACAGGACAGGTTGAGTCCGAGAAATACAGTACAGTACTGTACTGTACACTGTACAATAATACTTAAGCATAAGCGCAGCTCCACCGCCTTCTTCCTCGTCTAGGTGAAATAGAAGCCTTCAAAATTGGTAATCCGATCAATTTTTTGGTTATGTTGCAATTTTATGAACAGCAAATAATAACATTCAAGACTACAACAATATTTAAGTTTCATATTGAAATCTTGCAGTAATATACTGTACAGTAAACACAATCTGTAGTCAGAGTAGAGCACTTTTATTGCATGATGAAATTGGATATTGCAGAAGTAATAACCATAGATAGCACTATTATTGAAATTCTTAATTTCGCTTTTGCAGTAAATAGAGCTGAGGTATAGGCTATCAACTGTACAACGTATACTGCATAATATAGTTTATAAGTATCAAGCCTCATGTTAGAACTAATTTTACGTGCGATAGTAGCAAACGTGTGCTACAGACCAAGCACTGGAATACCGTCTTGAGATACATACTATATCTCCAATACTGCATGCTTCCAACAACTAATTCATCTCGCAAACGTTTTACTCATATGCTGAAAATTTCATTTTATTATTTCTGTAAAATTGTAACTTACAACACTTCTAATTGCACATCTTGACCTCAGACTATAGCTGTTTATTAATTGAATGAAAAATTAATGGTACGATTAGTGCTAGGATTAGTAATTTTCGTCTTAACAGCATGAACGAGGTACAAAATTATGAACTAATTGATACACGGCCTACTGCATATTCGAATAGTGCTTAGTAATCCATAGCTAAACTAACTACAGAGTTGATATCAGTAACTATACATACATTGTAGTGATTACTTAAGGACTTCAATTGATTACAGCTGCAGAATGGATAACTATTCCAGTTCCTCTTTCGGTGGCGGTAGTATGACAAGCAGTCAAAAAGATCAGGTCTTACAGGAACTCAGAAGTCAGATCGCTCTGGCAAATGCTCAGGAATTGATGCAGGTAGTTATTAAAGTGTTGTTATACGAGCATATAAGATTGCGCTCCGCTTACACGCGCACATCGCCAGTAACAGTAAACCTTTAGCAACGATAAAGAATATTCAAGTGCTGTTTTGATAGATCAGATACTGTATTGTAATCTAATTCTCTTATCATGCATTACAGTATTCTATAAGACTGCCTTGTAAATTACCCTTTAATTGTTTATGACTCTGTTATTCGTATACTTTTATCTTTATTGTTCATAGAAAATGTCAGAAAAATGCTTTAAGAAGTGTATATATAAACCTGGAACCCAATTAGACAACTCTGAGCAGGTACAACAAAAGTATAACGTATCGACATGAATCTAGCTTCCAATTAGTATCAGAATGCAAAACTAATTGATAATAATAGAATCATGGATATTTATTATTTTCAAATGATGTAGGTCATTTTTAACTTTACATGCTATAAATCGAAGCAAATTACAGTTTGTTTCATCCCATTCATTTCTTCGTAAATGGTACAACTATTTACGGTATTAACTCCGTATCGCTACAGCTAATTAAACACCGTGTTTTCTATCCTAGAAATGTCTTGCCATGTGTATGGATCGATATATGGATGCGTGGAATACAGTTTCACGTACATATAATGCACGATTATCAAGAGAACATTCAAGTGGCGGCCTTCAATAGAAAGCTTGCGTTAGAAACTACTTCCATATCAAATACGCGTATATTGGCGTTAATCTCACTGTAATTTAACATGCTTCATATCGCGATGCTTATTCGTTCATATTACGAATGAGCGTGAATAACTTTTATGTAGAATTATAAACGCCATAGGAAGAACTTTCTTTGATATGTTACCGTTACATTGCGATACACAGTATATCACTTGGGCCATGAATTAATTTATCAACTGTATTATGCAGAGCCTATTGACTTCGTATGACACTTAACGTGATATCGTCGCTGAGCTGTATGCATAGTTTCTACCTTTCGAGCATGCAATCCTGCTGGTTGTCAATCTTATGATTCAATAAAAGCAATTATTGGTTTTCATAACGTTCTGGACTATTTAATATTTTTGCTCCTATTCTAGACTTACCAAGATAATAAGCATGTTCACTAATTAATACTAATATGCTTGTTCTATTTAGCTTTTAATTCGAATAATAAGAACTAAACCAAAAATAGGTACTATGTACCGTTTAAATTAGTAATGGACCTATACTTTAATACGAAATCGTCCAAAGATTCTATTTCATGTTATTAAATATAATTATAATTATTGTAGGCGATCTTCCATGCCTGTCTAGTATGATCTAAGATCCGTTATGATTATCATGTTCATGCACGCTTTCAAATTATTACAAAGCATTACTACATAAACCTGAATGTTATAGTGCTGTAAACAGGTAAACTTGAACAAGCTCTAAATCTGTGCCCGGCACTTGGAGAATCTTTTTCTCGTGATAATTCTGATTAAGCAACAACTAGTAAATAATCAAATTGTGCATATATTTTACTATATCAAATTCAATGCTTGTAATTACAATAAACAGCTACGTTATAAATTTTTCGTTATTGTTCTCCCATTGAGCACCACTTTCAGATTCCGTGAACTTTAGTTTTCATCATATGTTTAAAGTGATAAAATTTGGATCTTATCGATAAAATTATACACCAATACATCAAAAACATTTTAGGCTGTAATAGCTCCTATGATGCATAATTAACGTTATATCAAAGTAAAAGCTAAAAAATATCAATAATTGTAAAAATAAAAAGCAAAAGCAACGTGCAATACGCATTCAAAGGTCATATAAATATTGGATAGTTTCTGTATTTATGAGTAGAGAAACTATAAATTGTAGCAATAAAAATATTGATATGTGTTAAAGCTACTGTACCCACATTGAAGGAGTAAGAGCTATTTTTCGGTTATTTTTCTAGTTAGATAAATGTACTGTACTTATAATATTACTAATGAACGTTTTATTATCCATAATCCCAGCAATCGTTTTTGTAAAGTCTTATTTATCTAACTTCATGCATCGCATGCTTTACAAATTTTTAAATTTAATTCGAACAGAAAACAATTGCAGCCCTAAGCCTGAACAATTACAGAAAAATAGTTCGTATAACATCAGTCCATTTAACTTAACATGGATAAACCTTCTCTCGAATTCGATCTACGTCAACTTGCATAGTAACTCTCAATTTTTTTTCTTCGTCTATCTCTTTTCTTAATGAATTCACAGTTAACTCAAAATTTTTCCTCATTTGCTCTATTATATCCTGTAAACTCTTAATTTCAGCCTTCAACGCGGTAACTTCCTCCTGTTTCGCTTTAATATCACCCGTGAATATATTCTCAGATGTTTTGGCAAGTACGGGTTCTTTAATGGGTTGAGGAACTGAATAGCCTGAAGTACTTGAGGTACTTGAGGATAGTTTCGGTTTTCTTGGTGGCAATGTTTGTGATTTAATCTTTGCTTCCGTATTTGAAGTATCAACTTGCGGTGATCTCATTGGTTTCTAGTAGAAACATGTAAAGAAGTAAAGAATGTAGTTATCTTGGCTAATTTTCATAGTTCTGTACCGAATATCTATGTCGAGAAAGTCTGATAAAGTATTACGGCTAAAAGATCAAATCTTATCAGCATCTGCAAATACCTGATAAACCATTGGCAGTAACGATAGCTGAAATATACTTAAATATTGATGCTATAATTTCGAAACGCACCTTCATAAACTTTGACCATGGAGGAAGATCTTGCTTACAATCACGATCATTTTCTTTCAATTTTTCAGAGGATTTTTCAACGCCGCTCAAAATAGGTCCTTCAGACTTTTCAGGCTTTTCAGGCTTTTCAGGCTTTTCAGGCTTTTCAGGCTTTCCAGGCTTTCCAGGCTTTCCAGGCTTTCCAGGCTTTTCGGGCTTTTCGAGCTTCTCAGGCTTCTCAGAATCAGGTATAGACTTCTTAGACTTACTTGTTTCATCTTTCATACCATCGAAAACATCCTAGATATGGTATCAATTCAAACAGTACTTCAATTAGAAACAGTTTTAGCGCTTTACAGCAAATGATAAAGTAAGGTTAGTAAGTAGTAAGTGCCAACATAAAGATTTATTTCAAAATTCTGCGTTACTGCGATCTATACCGCTCTCCTTAAATTTCATGCATTTTAAATATATCTTACTAACATCGGTAACATCATTGTGAAGACTGCTTCTCGAAGGAGGAGTAGATTTTGCTTTCATAGGTCTACTTCTTGTCAGATTTGGCAATACGCTTATTTCATTCACATCATCAAAAGTGATATTGCCTAAGAATGATACATAGGCAGTATTTAGATAGTTATAACTTTAAAAATGTATAATTCCTGTACAATAGTATCAGTAATACTGTACTGCCAAAGCTAATTGAATAACTTTCAAATAATGCACTATTATGATTACTGCAAGCATTGCAGCGCTTTTCCTTGGTAAGACAAGAGAACAATTAATCATCACCTTTATCTGAAGGAGGAGCCGCTAATGGAGTCCGAATAATATCTGATTGCTTGTATTCCTAAAGATAAAATCTCATAATTATTCTACTGTTCTATTAAATTTATACTTCTCAGATTGCAATGTTATGTTACACCTCAAGACGTAAATATTGCAAAATTTTGAGGATTTTTTAAGACGTATTCATAGGTTCACAGTTACAAAATGACGCACATTATCAGCCGCTTCCTCTACGATGACCTTTATAAAATTATTCGGGAAAAGGCCTTCCTTTCCATTTAATGATCCCCTCCACCATCCCTCCATAGCATCTTCGTCAAGAACGGTAATAATATCACCTTCAGAAATGTCTAGCTCGTCTTCTCGTTCAGCTTTATAGTCGTACAGGCACTGGCATTCTTTCTTCTTCGATTTATCTACTATCAAAAGACATACTACTATTAATATTCTATAACCATTTAACACAATTTAAACAGGAAAGATTTCTATTATGTAGAAAGCTAACAATACATGATCAAATATTTAGTACGTCCAATTCTTAATAACATTATAAGAAAATTATTTACCGGGAGGCCTACTCGGCACAACAGGCGTAGCATCCTAGAAATTAAATTTATAGTTAATTCAATTTAGAATAATTATAATAGATCAACAGTAATAACATAGTCGTTATAGCTGATACTCCTAGTAGTGCGTGCTATCTATAACATAGAAATAAACCACAGATTTAAATATCTAAATAAAGCATAAACAGTGGCACAGTATTATAAACAAAGTACTACGACCGGTTATTGTTACTGGATTTGATTTTACTTGTAAACAAAAGAGTAATCTAACGCTATACACACAACTCACACATTCTAGCAATAATATAATATTTTGTTCATATCACACATATATTATAAGGACGGTATCGTACAATAACTAATATTGATTAGGATTTCTTAATACATTGATATGTACTATACAGTATATACTCGTACAGCACATTAATAGTATAAAGAAATATAATGCTGTAGTGAATACCTTCCTATCTAGCTCTTCTGCCCTCTGCTGTACTTTCTGTAGCAATGGACTACCCTTGGAGTCAGCAAAAATATTGCCAAAACCTGGAGTATTCAATTTACTTTTAGCTAAAATATTAAAGAAAAATTTAAAAAATCAACCCAAAGACCGTCATTTACTGTTTTGGTAGCATAAAAATTTATTATACAGATCTTGAAGAGAGATCATACATTAATTAAAGCTTCATGCTAATTTTTAATGTAAACACTATGTGTACATATGTGTACAGAATACTCCAAATGTAAAGAAACAAGTAATTATAATCAAAAAGTTTGGCACAACTAATATAAACATCTCCATCAAACTGGAAATCATTATAAGGATAGACTTTGAAATAACTATTTCTGTATTGCTTGAATCCTTTGGATGTAATCGGTGTATTACACATTGGTGAAATACGCATACATTTACAGCAGTCCATAAGAAAACTTACGGGGTTTTGCTGGTGGAGGAGGTGCAGGTGCTCGATCATGCTTTTTTACGAAGGTAGCTGGAAAAAGTCCAATTTTACCTCGGAGTCTTCCGATACACCAGTCTTCCGAGTCCCATTTGACAACACTTATAATGTCACCTTCCCTAAATGAAATCTCATCGTCATCTTTAGCATCATGGTCGTACTGTGCCTTGACTAAATCGCCAATAGCTAAAACAAGTAGAAAACCATTACTTGATAATTAAATACGTACACAACTATCTTGATGAGTAGCTTAATGCAGAAAATATAAAATTAACATATTGCGTTTGGGCTTGTTACGAGACAAGTTATTAAGGAGAATGTAGTAAAAGTGCGTTTAAGACTAATTTTATTGTTAAAGCTACTAAAGTACGTACATATGCACACATCAAAATAATTTACATTATTACATATCAATATGAGAATGCCTACTCGTATATAGTTAACCTTTTAATCTTTTAATAAGCAAATCTATATCTATTGCTACAGTACATCTTCTGTCATACATACTCATAACAAATCATAATTAGTTATCACCAATGCAATAGTTAACAATAATATAGACTCAATTGCTATAAGCGATAGTGCTACAACACAAAATTGCGAAATGTATCCTTTCGACTTAAAAAAATAAAAAATAATAATACAATCAAGGTTTACTATCTCCTAGCTTATGCTGCAAACTATTTCTAGGCTCGGCACAACCCAGCCATTTTAAACTTTGCTTTGTTTCTTCAAAAGTTGCTTTATTAAAATTAATCCTCGAATAATACTGTAGGTTGAAAACTGTTTTAGTACTGTACAGTATAATGCGGCACTCAGATTGCCATGACACCATGACCATATTAACCAAAACACCTAGAAGCAACACAATTCTGATCCTACCATCACATCAATGCAGTGCCCATGATGCACGTAGAACTGTGAATTACTAGAAATGCTACGGTCAATAGATGTGCGTATGTACTAGGCAAAACAAGGCGCAGTGCTTTTCCTGACAAGATATGTTGAGTGTAGACTATATAAAGCGCACAATGCATCAGTAGACAGTTCCGGATGGTACCGAAAATAGCAAAGCCAATCACTTTACAGCAATACATTTAAGAATAATCCATTTACGTACTGTATTCATTATTCCCTTTCTCCTTACAATCATTGCTAAGTATACTATACTGTACTATGGTATATCGAGAGAGAGAGAGAGAAACAGTTCCGGATAGCACCGAAAGTAACATCAAGTCTATCACATAAATACAGTCAAGAATAATTAATTGATTACATCCACAATATACAGTATTAATGGATGATCTATTATTCATCTTTCTCTTACAATCAATAATACTAAGTACGGGTATATTATACAGTACACTGTACTAATTAAGACTGATGAAATTTTAATATCAGTAAACTAAACTCGCGCGGTAGATCATCAAATCTTAACGTAGTTTAGAATACAACAGTACAGGATACAAAGTTAGAGACGGAAGTGGCAACCTTTGGTCTAGACTAAAGTATTCATCTAATCTAGACATGTACATTGTACAGTAGATAGTCATTAGAAACGGCTACGGTAACCGATCGAAAAAATGCAAGCCAAAGACAAATACATTTCTAATGATTAAGTATTCATTTGCATGTTTGTTTCATCTTTCTCTACTGTTGATATATGAGTAATGTACTATAGAGATTGAAAAATTATCCAATCTTTTAAAATTGTTATTCAATTGAAATATGAGATGGCAAAACTGGCAGGAAAACTGAAATGTCCATGGTGTGCAGTATAGGCTGTACTGCATACTGTACTGTACAGTATGGTCGATGTTAACACACATTTAAAGTACTGTACAATCAGTACAGTACAGTACTTTAAATCTAAATCTACAGTACTGTACAGTATAATCAAGTACTGTACAGTACTGTACTGTACACTACAAAGTCGAACGCCCATCCCATCAGTCCGCAGCCGATCTTGTAGAGCTTTTTCCATTTTCAGGTAAAAAAACACAATGTCGAGGTAAAGCTACGGGCTGCATAAACTAGATCGTATTTATACCTATCTTCTATGATAGAGTTCTACTCAATGTGCTGACTGGCACGCATAAAGCGAAGGCTGGTAGATTCACACAGAGGAAGCGAAAGCTATGAAATGCCAGTGTAGTATTTTGATTTAATTTCGGATATTAAATTATCATTTACAGATAGTTACGAAAACAGCCAAATCAATGTAAGATATCACACAGTTGCATCTTTACTTAAGTAGGGTGTCAATGTGTAATGGTTAATAACTTTCAAAAATAAGAATATAAAATCATTGTCAATGAAGAACGATCTAGAAATTTATAATCCGCGTACGGTTACAGATATACGTTTGTGAGCTCTAATGCTTGAACTCACATTTGCCCAGGCACCATTTCAAACTCTCTTTTATCCATTTAACAAGATAGCAGTTGATCCATTTTTGATCGGATAGTGTACTATACTGTACTGTATACTATCAGCTCTACTCTAATTTATATAGGATATGATAATATGTCAACATTTTGGTCAAAGAGATTGAAAGGAGTCAAAATAAAATGCATACGACTCGTAAAAACCAAGTCACGAACGAGTCCCTGCAAAGTGTCAATTTGGGGTATTATTAAAACGGAAGTCAGTATCTTACCAAACATTTTCCTTATATGATGCCCAGCCTTTTTATTGAAAATAGACTATCGCTGTCCAAGCTGTTGTGATCTAGAACTATTGCTACAATGAATTATACAGTTTTCGACTTTTTGATACTAAAATTGGACTTGAATGAATTGGATAGGAACCTCCACCGCTGTTGATTTTAATCAACCAGAAGCCAGTGGGCGATCCACAAAGTCTGCAGTCCCTTAACCAACGATATTGTTGTACTAAAATACGAGACTAGACAAGGCAAAATACGCCACGGGTGCAAAGACTGTAACATTGATATAAGTTTGTATCAGACTACAATACAGTACTGTACAACGTACTGTATAGACATACTGTATACAGTACTTTTAGTCACACTAGTACTGCCGTCGCTTTGCTGACGGTTTACGATAATGTGCCCATTTGTTAATAATTAATAGATAGTATTAACCATGTGATAATGTATCCATTTGTTAATAATTAATAGATAGATAGTATTACCATGTGATAATGTGCCCCATTTGTTAATAATTAATAGAGATAGTATTACCATTGATAATGTGCCCATTTGTTAATAATTAATAGATAGTATTACCATTCGACATTATATCTATCTACACTTTTACAGTACTGTACATGTACAACGTACTGCATACTGTACACTTGTACAGTACAATACAGTACTGTACTTTTAGCCACATTACAGTACAGTACAGCGTATGTACAGTGTAAAGTACTGTAATATCTCGGTCGGCGGAGCGACAGACGTTTTAGCTAGTACAGTAATGTACAGTAATTAATTCATTACTAACCCTAACTATCGCGGCCTACAATGACGTCTCAACTGTGCGCTGGACTAACAACATCATTCGGCTTACAAAAATACTACTTTGGTATGTCTGTCAGGGACTACTCAAGAACAAATTTTACCTCTCAACTCCTTCTCCACATTCCCCGCTGTTCCCAACTACAGTACAGTACAGTATTACATGCTGTAATATTGAAAGGGGTCTGTCTGTACGTCTGTCTGCCCGACAGACTTATTACTAATTAATTATTAGCACTTGATTACGCTTATCCAGTTTTATGTAGTCTGTAGTCTGTACTATGTATAGTACTGTACTAGTCTCAATTTGTACCATCTGTACTAGACTACTAGAAGCAGACCTGGACTGATCAGTAATTTTAAATTAAATTAAATTAAATTAATTAATTAAATAAATTAAGAAATATCGAAAAATAGCTACTTAGTATGGATCTTTCGTGTCTGTTTTCTAATCACTGGTACTAATTTTAATACCATTTACGATCTTATACGACTGTTTCTAAGCAGAATTTACTCACGGATAATAAGATTTAACGTAATATTACTTCATTTCGAAAAATGAGTCTCTATCAAATCGATCGTTTGCATACTAAAGTACTGTCATACCCAAGTGCTTGGAAAAATCGTCTATCTTGACGAGATGACAAGAATGGGAACTCCCCTCTCTTAGAAGCAGACCATGTTATGCCGCACATACTGTAAGTACTACTAGTAAGTACAGTACAGTATTGCCCATTACAGTTCAGTACTGGGCAGTCTGGTACATCACAGCCATGGTATATGGACCTCTAGAACGATTACAGTTACTATATATCTGTACTGGATAATAATTTCACTTCACTACCGCCATGAACGTCTTGTTCAATGTTCATTTACCTGTACTTGCAGATTTCAGGTAGAAATGGCCTACCCTGAGTCCTTCATACAATGTACTGTACTGTACACTGTACAGTACTGTACATCAGTAATACTACACCTACAGTACAGTATTGTACAAGACACTACTGGAAGACCGCTGACTACACTAGTAAAATTCTCAAATTTCAGTTGTCCATGCTACAGTACTACTGTACCGTACACTGTACTGTACAGTACACTTATTAGGCTACAACCAAATATAGAATTTATCTAGTTTGGGCCTGATTTAGCCTATACAATTATATGTTTTCGGGGTGCCATCGAAAATAATCACACTTGTACTGTACAGTGTACAGTACATTAGGCCCAGCCATTCTATTACGTACAGTACTGTATAACCCCGATTACCCAGATACTCAGCGTAAATATACTCTACTGAGTGTACAGTACAGTACTGTACAGTGTACATTAATTAATTTCAGAGGTTAACCCGTCAGTTAACCTCTGATCGGCTACTTGTCAAACTTGTCAAATGATTTGACTGCATGTTTCATCATTCATTTATTTACAGTACAGTACAGCACAGTACAGTACTGTACATTACAGTAAATTGCGTACAGTATACTGTACACTGTACCGTACAGTATACAGTACTGTACTGTCCGAGAGTCTGGCTCTACAGTACTGCTGTACTCGGTCTCTGCATACAGTTATCAGCGATGGCGTTAATGGCTAGTAAAAGAATTCTGTCGTCTTCTACCCGTAATTTTCTAGCATTAACGGAAATTTTACGTTCTCGATCAATGGGAACGAAAGATATTTCATCCAGTTTGAAATTTTCTGCAATGCTTAATCAGGGCCGCTGTTTCAGTGTCACACCTAGGCAATTACAAAACAAGTAAGCGAACTACTTCATGAAGGTGGACAGTACGGTGATCTCAGTACTGCATATACTAGTTTAATGAGTCTGCAATTAAGAATTTCATTTAAATTGAATCATATACAAATTTGATTCTTTCGGAATCATTCTATAAATGCAATTGTCTTATTGTGCTAAAAATGATAGTGATGTGATGATAATACATGCATGTTGTAATCTCTTAGAACTTTACTAATTCTTCGACTACAACTGTGCTGTTGAATATTGTACACTAGTCTACAGTACAGTATAAGAAATTTCCTTATAAAACTTCCCCTACCCGCTATTCACATATACCGTACGCAATACTAGCGCGTTAAAGCCCGAGCTATAGAGTTTATACTGTTGACATCAATTTTGATATGCTACAGACGTATATCACTATTTAGATTAGTTTTTACTGCAATAAGAACTGTACATCACACATGTCCCACAATGACTAAAGTCTTTCTGATAAATGTTACTAGACTGTATATCGTTTAGTCCCTTAGAAATGATATGATACAATAACATCTTTAACTTGTTGATTTATTGTACTTCACATGTTTGTAAGTGATACTAACGGAAAGAGCTGACGTATGACTTCTATTTTCTGCCTTAGGGTTACTATTAATTTTGTTGAGCGTGATGGTGAAGTAGTCAGTGTCAAAGCTAAACTTGGAGAGACGCTACTCGATGTTGCAAAAGATTACGATATTAGCCTGGAAGGTCTGTTTGCTAATATTTGCCATACTTTGCTTAGATCAGAAATACTGTAACACGTACATAGAGGCGTGTTCCTTCTTGATTATAATATTCAGATACACAAATTTGCAAGAACTGAATATCTAAATGCAACTATATCTGTTTCTACTTCTTATAATTCTGGCGTGCACACGGTATAGTAGTAAGTGTGATACAATACCAGTTCCATGCTAACTCAAATTCTGTACTGGACTCTTGCGTTTGACATAGCTGATTCTGTAATTCTAAATCGATAACGTCAATTTTTATTAGATGGCTATTTACGTAATCCTATTCTATAATACCATCATTTACTATTTAACAATGATTAACTAATATAATACCAATATCGAATGACATCATTTAATGGTGCCCTAAATAACAAATCCACAATGTGCCTAAATTCTACTGTGGAATAGACCTACGTGCTAACCATGGTGCTCATTAATAGTTATGCTACTTTCATAATATTTGATAGGTGCTTGTGAAGGAACTTTAGCGTGCTCGACATGCCATCTCATTCTTAAACCAGAAATATATGAAACTTTACCTGAACCAACTGATGAAGAATTGGATATGTTGGATTTAGCTTTCGGACTTAGTGATACGTACGTATTGGATAGCAACAGAAATAGGATAAATTTTAAGACTTACTATGTAATAGTCCATCTTTCATGAAACTAAACCAATGTCTAGCACTTATTGCAATGAATAAATAGCCTATATTCACCGATAAGTTTGAAGTTTTAATCATAAAACGCCTAATTTTCTTTGCACCAAGTACAACACATTACCAGTCAGACAAGATTGTGTATCAAATTTAAACGATATCATATTTCAACCTATGATACTGTGTATTAACGGTCGTTCTAAAGTATAGTTTTTCTTTTAGTTTATAGCTCTGATCGCTATCATGGTGAAATAAGTGCTTCATTTATCTTTCAGATCCCGCCTAGGATGTCAAATTACTATTACCCAAGAAATGGATAATATGACAGTAGAAGTTCCTAAGGAGTCTTACGACGTGCGACAGTAAAGATTAACTAGTCTTCAGTTGGGCACTGTTACGGCCATAATTGCGCTGTAATTATTTATAGCGATAAAAATTAATAGCTGATATAAATTATACGTTTATAAAAAATATACTGGCTAGATTATCACATATTAGCAAAGTAAATGTGATCAGTATTCTGCTTGGATAAAATCTTGCAACTTCAGATGTTACTTGTTAATTATTTGACATTTTCGACATTGTGAATGCTTGATATCTGCTAAATATTTCTTTCTATACATCTAGATGTCCGTAGTTACTTAAAATATTTAAAGTTAATGCTATGGTAGTATCTATTTCTAGAGTAACGCCCCTGCTCCTTAGATAGCAATCTACGAATGTTAACTAGAGCTTAGAACTCATAAAATTTTTAAAAATTTTTATAATCTTATTACAACCGAGTATGTCTGTGAAAAATTAACGTTGTATGCAGTATCTTCGTGAAACAAGTAAATACCATTTCAATTACTAATTACAATTTGTTCCATCTACATGATAATATAACTGAATAATATATTTCGAATATGGACTTAGGATTGCATTAATATGACAGCAGCCGTGTTTGCTAGTATTCAAGTACAAAAATTTGTAAAATTTTCAACCAACCTCTTAGTATGTGTAATAATTGACTTATCCTGAGGTTTCGATCAGTGTATGTGCTGTATTTTCTGTAGTACCTATTTCTAGGCGCCTTATTCTTCGCCATAAATGCTATTGAAAATCAACCTACGCCGTCATCACAGCCTTTTCATGGAAAATTGTTACCAAACTCCGAAACTTTGATGTCACTCAGTATTTACTTCTGCTCTAAAAATATTTTAAAACCTATTATCACTAAGCAGTTTAGTAAACTAAATTGAATTAATTAACAAAACATTTAACAACAGCTTATATTATCATATTGTACTACAATCAGACGTATACATGCACATTGTATGCAAATCAAAGGTGGTTCATAATATTTCACATACAAATTACAATCAAAGGCATTCGAGTTTGAAGCACTATTAGGGCGACTAGATTTAAGGATACCATCACTTCAATAAACTCGAAATACACACGCTAGTCTAGGCTGTAGAGCAAATTGCTAGCAAAACTCCATTAATTAAGAAGTAATTCTATATACTACACTGTACTGTTCGTCAACTCTCACATGTACAGTTCTATGTACTGTACATTGTACAATGAAATTCCTGTTCCGCCCCTGTTACTGAATCAAGGCTGATACAATTTGTGACTACTTCAATCACTCAATTTATATGAGGAATCCTTCGTATCGATAGTACAATCAAGATTATATAGGAGTATAGCCTAGTAAACACATGAATACGTGATATAACTAATAAATGAGTATTTGAGATTGAACTCGTAACTGAGTAGCCTCAAGTAGCCACTTGATTTGATCAATTTCATTTTAAAATTGTCAAACTAGCCAGCACTGACAAGCCAGATGCAGACTAACCCTTTACGACGCCATTAATTCTTTTTTTACGGTAAAAGCGATACTGTTTCATGTTAAACATTTATTATGATAGTTATGTCATAAGTTACAGCTTAATAGGTCACTCTGCCAATTGGCATTTAGTGAAATACAATACATAACCAATGATTCATCAATAATTGTTGCCAACTTATCACTATTAACGATCAGAAAATTAAATTAGCAAATAATTCCACTTCACAGAGTTCAGGAAAACAATAACAGAAGCCAGAATTTTAATTATGAATATTAAGTAAAGTCAGAAATTATTCTGATAGTTACATACAATCAGTAATAAAATGCATAACCTTATGATAAGAAAGAAAGCCGTAATTGAGATTATAGTAATCAAGAGCAACGTAAGTTCTAGTCAACTATTAAATTATGATCGTGTGAATTATGCCAAGTTATAGGTAACCCAGCATGTGGTGAACGTAGCGCCATACATGCATTACATGGATTATTAGGTTAAGCGATAACGACTTCTTCGAAGGCTTGCTTTACTTCTGGCTTATTTTCTAATTTTTCGGGCTTTTCGGGCTTTTCTGGTTTTTCAGATTGTTCCATATTTGGGTTATAAACCAGCTTAACATTATCAACATATGTTTGCTCGGCAGAGCGGCTACTGCTTGATCGACAACATAATTTATATAAGCCGAAGAGTATCAGTAAGGCCAAGAAGCCAGATCCGACATAGATAGCAATACGAGCGGGCATTGGTAATTTTTCAAAAGCATTAACAGCCTCCTCAGGGAAGGTCTCGGGTCTAGATTCATGATCTTTGTCTACAAAGAAAGAAAAGTATTATAATAGAAGATGCGACAATAAAATCGAAGTAATGAACTTTGAGCGAAGTGAAATACGGTTAATCTTTAGCAGACCTCCATTATATGGACGATCGTTTCCAGGATTTCTGTGATGAATCTCACTGTCTTCTGGTTTCTTATCATGGAGTCTATAATAAACAAATTTATTTCCACGACATCCCAATTCCAAGATCATTTCCTTAATGTTAATCTGAGTAACCTATGATAATTAATTAGTAAAATTGGAAATTAGCGTTCCTCCCGACAGTATCACTTGCGAAATAAGTTAGCAAAACTGAAATTAGTACAATTGCAGTATAAATAAAAAGCAGAAAAAGTTATCGATTCCTTATTGCTATGGCATTGTTCAACCATCAATCGTCAAGCGAGTATAGTATTGACGATTTCAAATAATTATATCCATTGCAATATATCGTACCTTATTTCCATCAACCGATATGATTTGCTGTTCTAAGAATAATCGGCTGCTCTTCTTCCAGCCTTGCCTATAGTAACGTCTATTGGCCAAGACTCGCACCAAAACTGGAACACGACGCTTATTTATCTCATTTTTCTGCGGGTTAATATCAACTATGAAACAAAGTACAAACTATTAACATATTTTACGACAGTCAAATAAGCACTTAACACAATAGCACTACAGAGTACTGTTTATAAAATTTCACCTTTTAAGTAGGCGCTAAATGAGGTATAATCAATAGCTAACTTGATATTATAGTGATTTTACTTTAGCGATACCTTTGACGGTAGTAAATGCGACTGTATAGCACATGAAGTATTGTATCACTGCCACACACGATTAAATTGTCTCGAAAGTATCACATATTACAGTATGTAATATTATCTAAATCTGGCTTCACTCAAATACGGTACTCTATTTCTATTTTTAATTATATTTATATCTATTTAGTCCTAATTCTGATTATTGTTATCTATGAGTGGTCAGAGAGCACTACTTGTCATTGGAGATAACTTACCAACAGTAGCTGGAGTTTGAAAAGACATTACAGTCGATGTTTGGATAGGTATTCCATTAACTGAAATTCTTCCATCTTTGTAAACGATCTTTAAATCAACCTAAATCCAGGAACATCAGAAATATCATGCAATACCTACATATATGAGTTATTTATATTAAATTTAATTAAAAAGTAATTACTAGTACAATTCAAGTTTATACTATTGCAGTAACGCTAGAGCATACACATCATGCCCCGTTCGCTATATCGTTACCATTGTAAAACTATTTCATCACTACATCGGAAGCAACGGCTAAGCATAGCTGATCATATTCTAATACTGGAATAAGCTTTACGCGTACATAACACATATACAACTTTTTAATGCAGTACAACCGACAGAGTCGACTGAAAAAGAAGCAGATTTTAGTCATTTTTTTATTTTTATTTACCTAGATATTCATCCTCGATCTTAATTAATAATCTTTAGTAAATACTTTAATATGTATCGTTAAAAAGATAATGTAGATTGATGAAAGAGTTGGTCATCGATATTCGTAGGCGATAACAGGAATTTTAAAATTTCAAATTTTTCCTACTCTCTTCTCAGCTAAACTCAGATGTTTCGTTCAGGGGAATCAAGTCCCCTGCGCAACGCACAACTTGGGTAATTTGCAAATTTACGTCTAAAGTACAGTATAATTGTTTTCCTTATACAATATACTGTACTGTACAGTGCAATATAATACCTACTGTAGTATGCAACTACGGCAAGGTTTCAACTTTGAATTCCAATTTTGGATAATTCAAAGGGTCAAAGATATAAACAGCAAGCGAGCAGACATTAACAAAGGCATCAACAATAAAAAAAAACATGAATCTTTAGCCTCCTAAATCAAACGATAAAAATAAATAATAATACCCAAAATTGTGGACTAAATTGAATCAAACGAAGCCACCAGACTTGTTACTTTTAAATGGTCGACGACACATATACTGTACAGTAGACTGTTAACTGTAAATTAATTAATAAAATCAATTCAATGCAATCCTGAAGACCATGTGAACTGTACCGTACGGAGCCATTCGGTAAAGTACCAACCACAGTCAAGCGGATGATAATTATAATATGATAATAAAATACTGTACTGTACTGTCGATTTTTTTTTTTTCTCATTCGATCTCTTTCGCGTTCAAAGCTAAAATTATAGTATAATTAAACAACTTTTTTTTCAAAGCCACTCTACCAAAGAACAAATTCAAATCTTAGGATCAAACCCGATTTCGTATCTTACAGCACATTGACGTAGTTGATATTACTTTATTTGATCATATTGAATCCGTGCACATTGAAGATTATTAAAATAAACTTTGAGCAGTAGAGTAAACGTATGTTCAAGTTGCGGGATAAAAAACTTTCGCGATATTTTTATCATGTCTAGTGGAAGATTTACTTTCACTCTATCGGTAAATGGATTGGTACGAAAAGTAATGATGATTTTTTTACGCGTATATATTGTACTACAGCCAGCCATTGTATCGTCAACATTAGGAAGAAAAAGTGGCTCAGAGCCTCCGATGGATCGTTAGTTCGTTACTCATTTTACATTTAAGATACTGTATAAGAACAGTAATGTTTTTCTGTCATTGCATTGGCTACTATACTGTATTTGTATTCGTTTGCTTACTTTCATCCATTTCTCATCTTGAATGCCCTTGGAATTTAACTTGACTTGAACTTCTTTAACATCGATTCTCAAGACTTCACCATCACGTCTCATCAATTTACCCTTATTATGATATCCATGATACTTGTGAGAAAACACTTGCTGGCAAACTAACGCCAATACCAAGCAAAATAAAATCTTCATCATTCCCTTTTCAATCTTGACTGGGTTGAAAGTACGTAAGCATAAACTAAAACAATTTCTGACCAGTGCTTGCCTGTACCACCTATTTAAAGTCTGGTCAAACCTCAATAATAATAATAAAACAACAATAACAATACAGAAACATTCGGTAGATAGTTGTACGAGGTACAGTATGCAAATTACCGCCGTCTGCTGATAACAAATAAACACCTCTAATCAATTGTTGTACGGTACTGTACCACAGTACTTTATCGGCGTATTGACGTCACTCTACTGCACAATAAGGACTTGAAGTTGATTGGACGAATAGACTAGACGATTCAATGACTGTAATGACACTGATTATACATACTGTGCTGTGTTGTGTCCACCAATAACAGTCGTTTCAATAATTATCTTGCATTCATATCACAGTTGATTACGTTGCATTAGTAAGCAAACTATTCTCTTATCTTTCCACATTCTGCTAATAATGTAATCGAGTTGTTCCCTGATAGATTAATACTAATTAATTCTACTGCAGACAGTATTGATCTTGTATTCATATCGGCCATGTTATTTTAACTTTGCACCATATACTGTATAACAATATACAGTCCACGAATCCATTGTACAGTACTGGAGTAGTAGTTGGTCAGTGGAAGATGGAGACGTGGTGAAAATGCTTAAATGCTTTTAGCAGTTCTCTATCCGACTTTACTAGTACAGTGTAGTAGTCGTTGGTCAGTAGACGATGGAGACGTGGTGAAAACCCTTTTAGCAGTTCTCTATCCGACTTTACTAGTACAGTGTAGTAGTTGTTGGTCAGTGGAAGATGGAGACGTGGTGAAAATGCTTAAATGCTTTTAGCAGTTCTCTATCCGACTTTACTAGTACAGTGTAGTAGTCGTTGGTCAGTAGACGATGGAGACGTGGTGAAAACCCTTTTAGCAGTTCTCTATCCGACTTTACTAGTACAGTGCAGTAGTCGTTGGTCAGTAGACGATGGAGACGTGGTGAAAAAGCTTTTAGCAATTCTCTATCCGACTTTACTCGTACAGTGCAGTAGTTGTTGGTCAGTAGACGATGGAGACGTGGTGAAAAAGCTTTTAGCAATTCTCTATCCGACTTTACTAGTACAGTGCAGTAGTTGTTGGTCAGTAGTCGATGGAGACGTGGTGAAAAGCTTTTAGCAATTCTCTATCCGACTTTACTCGTACAGTGCAGTAGTTGTTGGTCAGTAGACGATGGAGACGTGGTGAAAAAGCTTTTAGCAGTTCTCTATCCGACTTTACTCGTACAGTGCAGTAGTCGTTGGTCAGTGGAAGATGGAGACGTGGTGAAAATGCTTAAATGCTTTTAGCAGTTCTCTATCCGACTTTACTAGTACAGTGCAGTAGTCGTTGGTCAGTAGACGATGGAGACGTGGTGAAAAAGCTTTTAGCAGTTCTCTATCCGACTTTACTAGTACAGTGCAGTAGTTGTTGGTCAGTAGACGATGGAGACGTGGTGAAAACCCTTGTAGCTGTTCTCTATCCGACTTTACTGTAAGGGTCTCTAGTCATCGACTTCTAAGAGTATTTTCTACTGTACAACTTCACGATACTGTACTCTACTGTGAAATTCAACAGCCGCGAGAAGGTGAATGGAGAAATTAATATTATTATGATCATTATTATTATTAGAATAATAATGATTAAACTAAGAATATCAAGCTTTCAATAGATGAAGTTTTTTTTTGGTGTTGAATTCTATCAAATAGCGTAGGGCTTCCTAATTTTATTCTATTAATTTTCCCCTAATTAAATTAAACTCTGCCTATATATTCTATGAAATAAAATATCCTTATTTATGTGTTATTTTCCGTAGGGAAATTGTATCGTTCGCTTCGAAGCAAGCCGGTTGTAGCCTAATTGTTACAATGATACGAAAGTATAGAATTATTTAATTCGGGAATTATGACAATATTAAAATTGTTAATGTAAATTCGCATCGATCGACATAGAACTATGAAATAAAATATCGTTATTTAT